GCAAGCACTCCATGCATGGTAACAATAATGAGAAGACACAGATGAACACAAATGAAAGCCTGTCCAATGTTTTTTTTTTTTCTTTCTCTCTTTTTAACTATCTTTGGCAGTGGTCAAGTCACCCACAATGCAGATTTCTTTAATTTACAGATTAAAGAATTGATCTTCATGTGAAAACTGCACATTTTTATTCAGGTTACGTTTGTCTGGTGGAAAAGTGTGTTTGATTTAAGCATTTGAGTGTTAAAAAAAATCAAAAACTAAAGAAATGTTTTGTAGGAAATACCTTTTCACAGCAGTGTTAATGCTGCGGTCATCACTGCACGCCGTATTATCACTTACAGTCAATTTTTTTCCCCATCTTGTAGGATTTTTCATTCCTGGATTTCCCAAGTTGCACCGTTTCCAGACTCATCATGAACTCATCCTCTCCAGAATGCTGCCTAAGCTGAAGAAACACCTGGTGAGTTGCATGCGTATCTGACTGATGTTTAATCTCAGTGGCTCCATAATGATGTTCAGCTGGTTTGAAAACTGAGATTTATAACAAGTTCTGTTAGAACATTTGCTCTGAGACTCGGTTTCACGTTGATTTGTATCCCCTCAGGACAAGGAGCAGATGACGACAGGGATTTACTCCACCAAATGGTTTCTCCAGTGTTTTATTGACAGAGTCAGTATTTGGATGTTTTTTCAGCTTTTCAAACATGAACCATCTGAATTGTTGCTGTTGTTTTTTATCACCTATTCCATTTTTTTCACTCTGCTGTTTCCGTAACAGACGCCATTCACCCTCACCCTCCGCTTATGGGACATCTACATATTGGAAGGAGAGAAGATACTAACCGCCATGGCTTATACAATCCTCAAGTTACACAAAAGTGAGTGAGAAGCTCATGTATATTTTGTCTTTGTCTTTATGTGCTGTGCTGAGGGAGTTACTGCTGTATCTGGGCTTAACAGCATCTTGTCTGATTTCTGAGTGTTACTGTGTGGCTTACAATGCAAGCTTCCTTGCATAACTCAAGGTGCTATGGAGAAGAATCAAAAGCAGACTTTTCATTGGGTGCACAGATGAGCATTTTCTCACCGTATTGGTTGATTTGTTCCATTTAAATAGATAGTTGATTTGTCAACAAGCATTTTTTTTCTTTAATTTACCCCACACTAGGAATAAAACATTATTAGATAGATTAATTTAGCTATTTTTACATCAATATCTTGTGTTTAATCAGAACACCTCATGAAGCTCCAGCTAGAGGACTTGAGGGAGTTTCTCCAGGAGCAGCTGCCGGATTCGTTCCTCCTGCTGGATGATCTGGTGGTAGAACATCTACAGACGGCGATGTCAGAGCTGCGCAGTAAAAAGTTGGATCAACCTCCTCCAGGTAAAACAGTGTTTCATTGTCTTCATGTTCTAAAGTCTCGTGCATCACTTTGTTTGACAAACTCTGATTAGCTGTGCTCCTTTGGCTGTTGTGAAGTTACAGAAAAGATAAGACATTTCTAAATTAATATCAGAAAGTGAAATAAATAAATAAGTAAAATTCTGCCACAGTACTATACCTGCCGATCTATTTATCTAGAAAATTATTCAGTGTTTGTTGACCTTGTGGATTGCCGTGAAACTTAATTCTTTCACCTCATCTCTGGATCTCCTCCAGAGTTCCCATGAGCCTCTTGGCTGATTCTCTGCTTAATGATCTGGTTTCCCGGCCTGTCAGGTTTGTTGGACAGCCATGTTATAGTGGGCTTGTAGTGTCCCCATACTCTTGATTTTCAAAAAATGGACTGAACAGTCCTCTGACATGTTGTTCAATAAATGTTCCCCAAATAACCACTGAGGCCTTCACAGGACTCTATGTACTTCTGAGACTTCTGAGGGTATTTGCTTGCACTGGATTTCATTTAGGTGTATCAAGATAAAATATGGTTAATAAAAATGCATCACTGAATTTTCATATTTTAATATGCAAACATTTTGAAAACCATGTATGTTTTTATTTCCACTTTGCAACTAGTGGAAATATTGCTCTAGCCAATAAAATACCTATTAAAAGTACACTGAAGATAATGTGACAAAATATGACACTCAAGAAGCACTGTATTTTTTTCTGTTTCCTTCTAATGCCTGTTGTCTCTTTTTTTTTTAGCTAAGTCAGATGAGCTCCCAAAGAAGCCTCTGGGTCAGGAGAGACCAGTTGTTCTTGTGCCGCTGCAGCCTAAATTGCATCCGGAGATCAAAATAAACCTGCAGACCAACAGCAAGCCTATAATGGAGACCCCGAAAACAGATGCAACCACCAATCCTCGGATTCCTTCTCCCTCTGAACTCCAGAATTCAATGAGCCTCTCTGGAGCAAACACATTTTCAATTTCTGCAGTAACTGTCAGCACACAGGGAACACCTTCTTCCCTGAGGCATTGTAAATTACCTCCAGTACCTCCAAAAGAAAATAAACCATCAATTGCCATAGGTTCGGGTAGAGATATGAAAACTTCATCCACAGAGGTTTGCCAAGAGTATAGAAAACATGAGACCCAGACAACTGATGTAGAGTCCATGGATTGGCCTCCCCCCTATGAACCCTCTCCTTCGGATGCTGCGACTATGCAAATGGAGGACGAATTCATGGATCTTCCTGACCTACCACCTCCACCTTTGTTTTACCCTGAGCAGATTGACCGGAGGTCTCTGGGCCGGGAATCCCCCTGCCATCCAGACCTGCATCGTCGCTCCCCTTCCCCTCGTTCAGCTTCACCGCTGGTCGTTCCACTGAAGCCATCACCGAAACCAAGTCCAAAACCTTCCCCACACAACTTCACAAATAAAAATACTTCTCCTACAAAATCTTCCTCTCATTTTGTCCACACATCATCCTCCTCATCATCTCCCAGAGTCCCACCCTCAAAACCAACAAAGTTCCCAGTTTCCCTTTATGTTCCTGGGTCCATGGGTGACAGGAGGCCCTCCAACACATCTCAGTATGATAATCTCTCTGAAGCTGATGACGATGATCGCTTTGTGGAAAGACTGCTTGCCTCTACTCCTGAGGAATTCCCCCACATGCACAGCAACTCCACCCATGCTACTGACAGAGCCTATGACCCTACCTTCTTCCCCGTTCCCCCACCCCCTCTCTTCATTCCTCCTTCCCCGTCTCTCCTCCCCCCTGTGATGTGTGTCCTCCCTAAGTTGCCTCAAGAGCCAGAATATAAAGGAGACACCAGCTGGGTAGATGATTCCATCATCCCTCCTCCACCACCCAGCTTTGCAGACAAACTTACCCCATTTCAGTGCACCTCTACCCTCTGCTCAGACCCAAACAGGTCCTCATCACCTGTTTACTCTAAGAATTTCTCCAGAGCCCCCAGAGACCATTCTGCCTTCCCTGCACCTTTGCTATACACAGGATCTCCCCCAGCTCACTCCAGGTCCTCAGGACAGTCACCAGTGGGTATGGCAGGGGTACAGTCCAGCCCAAACTTCTGTAGGACGCCTCCTGTTGGACAAAAGCTTCCCAAATCAGTGACTTTTTGATTGGGCAGTTGATAATTCATCTAATTGATTTTCAAAGCTGTTGTAAAGGTAAAAGGGCCAGTAGTTCCAATGTTTGACAAATATCCCTGCGTGCATGTGTGACATAGCAGTTTTCATGTCCAGCTATTGTATCCACATCTGTGAAAATTGTACCATGTTTCTAATGGATTGCCAAACTTGTATTTAGTACTTATGTCAAGAAGTGTGACTGCTCCTCAGTTAGTCATAAGAAAGCATTTGGTTTTCCTTTTGAACAGGAGAGTAATGATCTCATCACAGCTGTACATATCACCATTCTTCCAGTTCTCGCTAGGTTAATGTTGTTCCAAAGAGGTGTCTTAATCTTAACATGGAGTACTCAGTACAACAACTCTAACAAAAGGGCTACCAGTTAAGACCATCAGTACAGTCAAAGTATTCAGCTGGTGTTTATAGTAAAGTGTGAGCAGGCTCACAAATCTTCCATTGGTTAAACTGAGAAAATGTCATTAGCCTAGTGTAGCTTAACGTGGGCTTTCAACTAAACCAGAGTGTTCTCATGGAGTGCTAATAAAACTACAATTTCCTTAAAGTTGTAAACATCAGCAGGAGCAAAGACGGTGCAATAAATGACAAATGTAAATACAGACAAAAGTATTTTAAACATTATGCCATTTCAGATTCTTTCCCTGGGAGGTTGCAGTGGGTACTCTCTCGTTCGTTTAGAAATAAGATGTTACACAACTCATTTTTGGGGGTTAGGGTGGTGAAAGCTTTTTCAGTTATATATGTTTTTACAGCAAGGATATACTATGTATATGTTCATGTATATATTAACGTTGAAGACCTAATGTATTATATTGGCACAGGCCGTTGTTTTTTCTGGAGATGACGTTTGAAGATGGCTCCATCTAGTGGTCAGAAAACAAAACACACCCCACAAAGTTAGGCTTTTTTGTTGCCAGTCAGTGTTATGTTAATTTTTAGAAAGCGAGTTTGAATCAGGTGACATGGGAGAGTTCAGTGTGTAATTCAAAGGAAAAAAGGTGTAGTTTGTGTCATTTATTTATTTAAATAGAAAAAGTAATCTTTGAACATGGAGGCTGAGCCAAAACAGATCTGGGAGGGCTAAGCGTAGTCAAATATAAAGTTTTGGGTCCAAAAGTCAGTATTTTCCTTTTTGACACTGAGCGGCTGTTGCAGCTTTGTTTTCCTATCAAAGTCTTCTGCTTAAGACTCTGGTCTGTGTCTGCATTGCCTCACTATGAAGTACTGTTTTTGGCATTCATTACATGTATGTTTGGCATAACAGTATTGAAGCTTTGTTGTTGAATGTCATCACATATTACACATCACTGCTCATTTAAGGAATTTTGTCTTGATAACTGAGGCTAAGACCAAAGCATACCTGCATTTATGCAACTACTTGAGTTTTATAAAGAGATTAACTATATATGTCTTGTTGTGTTCTTCAAGCAATCATGTGTGCTTTCAAATGTTTATTGCATACCAACAAAACAATGTAGTCTTACAAAATATACAAGTCTGAAGTAGCTTCTGTTCATATTATGCAAGGAGATTTTTGCATAGAGTACATGAAGAGCAAGGAAACAGGACGACAGATACAAAAGCTTCATTTAAGTCAGTGGACTGGTCTATAGCCCACACCCTCACTGGGTTACTATATGCATAGTTCATCTTCATAATCCAACACTGTGATTTACTCAATTATATTAGTTTGCATAAATACACATAGTATCCCGAATAGCATTTGCCACATTGAGTTGTTTCTCAAGACTGCACTCATCTTTCAGATGTTCTGCATGAAACACCTTGGCTTTAAAAGAAAATTAAACATTACCTCAATGCAACATGATATGTGCAAAAGAAGCTTCCAATGCCTCCAAGCTATAAAAAGTGCATAATATATATTTCTATATATAGATGTATTTTTTACAATGATTTAGTACACAATGTCCACGTTTTAAGGAGAAACAGGCATAGGAAATTACATGCCTTTTTTCTAAACTTTAGTGCAATCACTGTCCATCGCTGACTATATAGCAGCAAATATTCCCAGATTTCTCATTGCATTCATATTCTGATCTGACTCATGAGGCCAAAGAGTGAGTTGATGCTTTCTCTGAGCTTGGAGTCTTCTTCAGGTCCGAGTGTCACTCCAGCCAACCGAGCAGATCCGTTTGCTCCCATAATGCACGGCAAGCTGAGGAACACCTCTGCACCTATACCACTCCAGCCCTAAGAAAGCAAAATGCAGATTTAGGAAAAAAATAAATAAAAATTGAATTCAAATACAGTCACCTGGATGAATAGTGCAATGCCACGTTGTTTGAGAATTTGCATTACTTATACCTTTGTGTATTACTCATTTTCTCAGCTTCAGTCCACTTATTGTAAATATCTCAAAATCTATTTCACAAAATTTTAAATTTTGATTCTGAAGGGTGTATGGTTGGTTGGTTGTGGAGCTTTTCTACCACTGTTGTTCCTACACTTGGATATAATGAGTGTCTAGGGCCTTACTAATGTCCTTTTTTGGCAAACCGACTTTGACTGACAATATCTGACTGCCATACAACTAAGGTGTTGTAAATGACTATAAAGAGCTGCACTGTTTGAATGGAACTGCTAAAATTTTCAGTGAGATTGTAATTCTCTGAAGTACACCTGTAGTGTGAGACTTGGTAATAGTGGACCTATTGTTTAAATAACGGAAGAGCTACCTGAGCCAGTGTTGAGATGGAGTGAATCTTCATCTTATCTGTCAAGATGGTGTTGGTGATGTCCGCAACAGAAAGACCTACAGACCAGGACCGCTGGCCTCGATTTTTCATGAGATCAAACGCTCTGAATGGGAAAAATAAAAAATAAAATTATGAATAATGATAAGAGGTTAATAACAGCTATGTCTTAATTCCATGTTTGTAGCAAAAGCACCTGTCTAGCAACGGCTTTGTAGAATTAGATCCTGGGGCGATCTCAAGTGCTCCGTTAGAACTCAGTCCAACGTTACTTATTACAGGCACTATCAAAACACACACAAGAAACACTGGTAAGCTTAACGGTACGCATGGTGTACAGTTGGCTTACCACATGCAATATCGGCTGGAAGAACTGCATAACTTGTCACCATAATAATGGCGCAGATGAGCAAAACGGATTAATACAAAAAAGGTAAAATAACTCCAGATACATTTTCTAACTGATTTTTTTTTTCTCGTGAGTCCAAAACGTTTTGGACCAAATTTTCCAATCTTCTGAGTTTTGTTTTTATTTGTGAACAAGCAAAACTAAGAATCTTAATTAATTAATCTTACATTATGATTAAAAAATAGATTTTAGTCTCTCGTTATTTTCGTCAGGGTTGAGTAAATGAAGAGGAATAATTTCGTTTTCCACCTTTGCTCTCAAGGAGTCATGTGAAATTTACAGGTACAGCTCGACAGATTTTCTAAACTAATAACAAAAACCTGAAAAGTTAGGAATATAGAATATTTTGTAAGAGCAAGGAAAACTGATTTGAAACAAAAAAAATATTCTGTTAGAGTCATACTGTCAACTAAATACTGAAATTCAACTCAGCCATTCAAAAATGGCTGAGTTTATTGTTGACCAATACTCTGACACCCTCCACTAGAAGGGCTTCCCCACAAGAGACATTGCTGAAAAAAGAAAATGGCTATTTAAAGAATATTATATGTAAGCATTTTAACAGAAAGCTGTATGGCATGGATTATTGCAACATATAAGCCCCGTAGAGAATCTTTGTCAACAGAAAGATGAGAGACATCAGAACCAAATACATTTGAAGTATTATAGAAAGTGTAATGAATCCATATACGAACTTCATTTTAAATGTATTTATTTTTTATTATTATATTATTTTATTATTATTAAAGTAAATTAACATATATTGAGATGCACCTGTACACTCTGACTCAAAGATCCATCAGGGTAAATGTTAAGCCAGTTCTTAGTGACAACAGCATTAACATAAACCTTTATGTAACTATCTAATATATTATTCAGCTCCTCACCTTTATTGTCTGAGAGCTCTCCTATGACCCAGGCGGGTTTGTGTGTATTCAGATTAATATCCATAACGTGGCTCAGACGCTCGGAGTCCAGGTTGCACCCCGCTCCAATCACCCGTGTTGGAGGGAGACCACTTTGCCTCCAAGCAACATGTGTCATGATGTCCACTGCATCAGTAGGAACTGAGGTTATACAACAGCAACAACAACAAAAAAAAACTTTGAAGAAGTGTCTGTTACTGACCTGGTTGTGAGGCAATAAGCAGGATGGCAGTGGGGCTAAGACGTACCAGATTGGGGATTATTCCTCGGTACAAATCAACATTAGTCTGGACCACCTTTACATATGACTCGTCGTTGTTCCATGAGTTGGCTGTCACCACTATAACCTTGGACTCCGCCGAAGATGAAATATCTACGAATTAAAACATGTAACATGGTCAGTACTTAATCCTAGAAACCTTATAGGAACACAACCACATCTTAAAAACTTGTTAAACTAAGCAAACAAGGCGGTGAGTCATTGTGGAAAGACCTTGTCAGCACAACACCAGGAGTCCTTTCAAATACCAAAAGTCAATGAGTTATGACTCATCGGCCAAAAAGGGCAGATGAGTCATAACATGACAGAGCAGAAAGTGACGTACCTCTGGATACCTGCACCTTCGGCAGGTTGAAGATTTCCAGGTCCGTAGCGCCGCCTTTGGAGGAGCTTTCAGCAACGTCGATAAAAACTAGTCTGTCCACATTACACTGCATTGTGTGAAAAAGAGACAAGCATTAACTCAGTATCATTAACTGATCTGACAAAACCAAAAAATTGTTATCTGCTGCACTGTCAAAAACTAATGTAGCTACCTTAGATAAAATGCTCATCACACACGCCATGCCCAAATCTCCTCCTCCAACGACTGAAACTTTGATGTTTTGCTGGTCTTGATGCCTGATCCCACCTGAAGTTAAAATAAAATATTATTTATCAATTTTTTTAAGTAATTTATGAAGGTAAAAATTAAGAGTGAATGTAAAGAGCAGCACCATCATTGATCTTCAGATTAGAGACATAAGCCATGAGCTCATGGGGGTCCTTGGTGTCTCCTGCAGTCCTGGAAGATAGCGGAGGGTCTTCCTCAAACTTGGAAATCATCTCATTCAGGAGACCCACGACGGATGACCTGGGCTGTAACAGAGTAAGGCTGATGAGAAAATCACAGCTGGGCTTGTGATAGTTATTGTCATGAGACATACAGTTTCAATGTGCTGTTTCAATAGTTCCAAAAGGTCCCAAAAACTCAAAGCTGTGAGGGATAAGCATCACACTACAGGCTTGTTAACCCAGCAGATAGTAGTCTCACTAATTTACCGGTTTCCTATACTTTTGTTGCTTCATAGAACATAGAATACTTTAAGTTTAGTACTGTGTTTATATTTTTGCTTTAGTCTGTTCACTAAATTGAGAGTAATCAAATAGTACAGCAGTATTATACCACTAACAATATATAATTTTAGAAGCAGTAGGAGTAAATGTTTTTTTGTTTTTTTTTTCACAAAAAAATTATTTGGCAATACATTTTAGCGTAACCGACATGTCAAATCATGGTACTTTAATTCAAGATTATGAGACAGTGAAGGTCCGCTCGGAGTCCAGGTTGCAATTTTAAACACCAGTTTAAAATTGACACCAGTGCAATTTTAAAATATAGACACCAGCAATTTTAAAATATAGATAGCAAATGCAAAAGCTTACATGATCCCAGTTGTGAAGTACCGGCAGGTGGATCCGTCCCTTCGCGTCGACGTGTTTTCCCTCTCTGATCACCATGTTGGAGGTGGGCCGCAGCAAGCATATTGGAGGCGTGAACGGGAACGAGTACAGAAGCCACAGCTCGATGGGGAAGTTGTAAGAGCGACCTTGAGGAGAGAAGCTGCCATTGGAACATCCTCTGACATAAAACTGCATACAGTATTTGGAAAATTCTTACCATCATACTTTACAGGAATGACGCCAGTTAATTTCAGGAGCTCCATTTGGCTGTTATCAGAGAATGCTGAAAAGCACAATATATCACCTGTTAGTTAACACAGTGTTGTGAAAATGTACTTGCCCCCTTAGATCTGCTTCTAGTTACAAAACAGAGCATTTCAGGAAAGATACAACAATCTGACGTGCAAACATGGTGGTAATACTGTGATGATCCTGGCCAGTTTCTTGCATTGTATTGTCCTTATGTATTGTCCTGTGTTACTTTTACTATGATGCTGTTTTTAATTAGTTATTTCTCCACTTGATCATTTTAAAATCTTGCATAGCACTTTCCAACTTGTGTTAAAACTTTTTTTCAACTCGTCAGTTGGTCAATTAGACGCACCTAATTGACCAATTTGGTCCTCTACCAGAAAAATCCCCTTGAAGATTGTTTGATCAAAGATTTGTGACCTTGAGCTCAGACACACCAACAAGCCTCCATTGAACTGCTTAAAAAAAAAAAAAAAAAAAAACTAAGTCATGACTTTGGAGTGGTCTAGTCAAAGTCTGGAGAGAAGTCACACTGAGATCTCGTAGAATGTCCCGAAACATCTTTATCTTGCACAAAAATCTTCCAATGAGGCTGAATTAAAACCCATTCTGAAAGAAGAGGTGGCTATAATTCTTCCACAGTGAGGTAAATAACTCACTGTGACTATTGGAAAACAGTAGATGGAAGTGAGTTGGCCCAACTGATTAGGTTTGGAGGTCAATCACTTTTTCACATAGGCCGTGGTTGGATTCGACAGCTTGTTTTCCCTTATTAAATGAAAGCGTCGTTTGCTGTTCGTATTCACTCATTTAATCTTCCCGATACTAAAATGTGATTAATGAGCAGAAATATGTCAGGGATAAAACACATTTTCACCAGAATGCATTTTGTCAAAGAAATGTAAAGGTAGCACAACAACTTACTGTACATGCCAGTGTTCAGTGTCATGTCAGGGAAGATGCGATGAATTTTTTGAAGTTCGTCGACTGTGACATCTCCAAATTTGTACTAGTAGAGGGAAAAAGAAATGATTTGTAGAAGCATGCATAAGATTCATAAAGGATAAGTTTTGGGGTTTTTTTATTTAAGTTTTTCAACATAGTCCAGTTTTTTTTGTGCTCAGTGTTCACTCATTTTTTTTTGTTATGACTTACACAATAAAAATCTAATCCTCAGTTTCTGATCCTTATCTTACCGAGGTCTAAATTTATCCAAACTCAATATTCTTAACTCAGGGTTAAGAGACATTATTGACTCGACCTTTCATCGTTCAAAAGTCGAGCCAGCCAAAGTACAGCAGTAAGGTTGCACTTAGTTTACCAAGTCACTCTAAATAAATTGTGACATGGTGTAATATGTCTTGCTCTGTTGCACATCTGATGTCACATCGGTTTGATTTTAACAGCTGACAAAAAAAAAAAATGTTTTTTGAAATGCTGTCATTTCAAATCAACACAATATTATAAGTGATTCAGAGCGAGAAAGGCAACAAAGTACATTCAGCTTTAAAAAAAAAAAACATCAATAATATATTAAAGATTAAAATGCACTACAAGACATTTAAATATCTGAATGGAGATACAGACATGAACAGGATTGTTATGGAGAAAAAAATATTTTTCTAACCTTTATTTGTAAATAAATATTAATGAATAAAGCACTGACAAATTAACTTTCATCTTTTAAAACCTATTATTTTTGGGAGCGGCCATATTCGATGCCTCCACATTGATTTGCACTCGTGTGGCATTTTCTTTAACTTTAGATTACTCTTTTTAACAACCCTTCTTTTAACTTATGAATAATTATTCTTATGTATTGTCCTGTGTTACTTTTACTATGATGCTGTTTTTAATTAGTTATTTCTCCACTTGATCATTTTAAAATCTTGTATAGCACTTTCCAACTTGTGTTAAAACTTTTTTTTTTGTAGGTATTATTAAAATACTGATAATTAACACATCTGTACAATTAACTCTAAAGAGTAAGCACTATTAAAACTTCTGTCACAAATTTCAGTCATTTTACAAATAAGCAGGGATTTTTTTTTAAACTGAAACTGTCAGTTTCTTGAAAGAATTGGCCAATCAAACATTTATAATTTTTTACACAAATTCTAAATATTTTATTGTTATGTTTTACATTTCTTTTTTTGCTCATTGTCACAGTAATAGTAAGACAGAAAAAACCAGCATAAACTTTATTAGTTTTCTGTACAGGTAAATGCATTTTACAATTCCAACAGCTGATTCTGGAAAGACTCTGCAAATGCATCCAAAAAGAATAATTGCACTTTCACCTTGTAATCTTGTTTAAGTTCCTTTCCTGAATTTAAGTAACTAAGCTGGTTCTTCAAGTTTGCTCAGGCTGGCAGAAGCTAATAGAAACTAGCCTCCAGAGCTAGCCGGCTTCTACGAATGAAAGTTTAGACTTGAACACATTTCCAAGTTGTCTATTGTTCAAACTGACCTTCGTGAGGATCCGTTGTATTTTCTCTGCCTTGAAGTCCATCTACTTCACCCGGAAATTAGCCAAAATAAATATTAATATCCTAGTTATCCTTTAGGTTTTGACGCTGCCAGTTGTATGATTCCTGCTCTGTTGATAAAACTTCCGCAAACTTGGGAGGAGCAGCCAAAGGCGTAGCTAGGTGACAGTGATGTCATCAAAGAGCCCCTCCCTCTTTGAAAACAAAACAACAACAAAAAATCCCTTCCCCCAAATATATGGCAAGGCATTGTCATATATAACCAGGTGTCAAAATAAGCATAACAACTACCTACTCTAGGTAGTTAGCATTAAAATTACGAATAGAAACACCAATCCTAATAGCTAAAGTCAGGATTTTGATTAAAGACATTGAGGCAAAAAATTAAAACCCTAAAAAAAATGCCTATATTTTCATATTTCATGGTAAAATTGGATTTTTGTGATGTAACAATGACTAAATTATTTGTCAGGCAATTTCATACAGCACTATACTGGCCAACATTTCACATTGAAACATTATTCAAGCTCAGACTATTCACATCATTTTGAGTTTTTAGCTTCAAATAGTGCTAAGCCATTTTTAAACATCTTAAGGGAGTGCTGTATACTTTGATCATGAACAAATATTATGAAAGATTTTCTTCACGTTTTAGGCATTTACCATTAGGACTAAAAATGTAGTTGGAATGTGAGTGTTTCTTGATAAGAATGCCTATCTGTAATGTCTACTGGATCCAATTAAGAAAGTTGCACATGATTATATCTAATATTTTAAAATAGTTTGTCCTTGGAGAAGTGTCATTGGATTATGCAAGATGTTGATAGTGGGTAGAACTGATAATATTCTAGGGAGATGAAAAATTGATTTGAAAGAATTTGATCAGCAACAAAATTGCATCCGCTGCACATCAAGTACTACCTTAAAAAGCAGTACGAAAATAGTAAAATATTTTGCTCATTTTAAGACAAACAAAACCACTAGTTTTAATCATTCAAAAAGAGAAATGGAACCAAATTTATGCATATAGAAGTTTACCAAAATAGTCTTAATCTGAGAAAAATTGACATTCACTACTGTTAAATAAAAGCATTTATGCAATTATTACTGTCAAAATATTATACACAACATAAGAATTGTTAATGTTTTCTGCTTAATAACAATATGTTCAAATAATTGGTTGAAAAAAGTAACAGAAAATATGTTGAAATCTGTCACTGTTAATGGTAACATCAGAAAAACAGATTCATGTTTGTTAAAAGTTCAATTCTTTCCAGATTGTAAATCCAGAACGTTGTAGCGGAAATAAATATGGACTTGAGAATTTCTCATTATTTTCTAAATGCTTTCAATGGGTTTTGCATATCGTCTTTTGATAGATAATCTTTCACAACAAGTTACTTTCTCCATCACAACTCAGGGTCAAATGTGGGCTTGATGCTTTGGGATCGCCAAGCCACTGCGTTCAGAAAACAAAAGGGTTTTTTTATTCATCAAAACAGGAATGGAGCTTCAGTTGATTTTTTTCCTCTTGGCCTTTTTTCTTTTCAGCTCTTCTTCCTCTCGCCTCTCTTCCTCCAGGTCCTCTTGCACTGCCATCCTCAGGCTAAAGTCAGAGTGTGAAAATGTGTGTTACCGATTACAATTACTTTTAAAAGGGAGACAATAATTGCCAAAAAGTCTATTTTAATACCTCCTGGCTTCTTCTTTCTGCAGGTCTTTCCAGCTGCTCTCCATAAATTTAAGTGCATAGTCACTTTCATCTTTGTATCTGGGAGAAAAAAAAAGACAAAGTTGTAGTAAACTGATATTTTGACAAATCAATTGCTTTAACATAAAAGAGAAATCTATTCTGAATATGTATTTGTAGATGTAAAACTGTGTAAATGAAAACATCAATTAACTAAAAAAAAAAAGATGTTTCAGGATTTTGTTTTATTTTCAGGCAGATCTTCCACATCTGCTCACTATTTTAATGAGCCATTTTTCTGCCAGTCCACAGAAAGGGGCATATCAAAGTGAGTGAATGAGTGAGCCACTACCAGTTTTTCTAGCAACTACTTTTTAATTAGTCCAATGAAATATTGACATTTTCAGATCAACTACAAGTCATATTTATCAAAACTAAGAATTCAAGGTGTGAAATCAATCTTTGAGATTCACTGTTTGGCCTGAAGTACTGTCATTAACTTTTCAATTATAATCATATTAAATGCAATGCCCCTCGAGTCTGAAATAAACAATAATCATATCTTTCTGGACCCTCATAGCACAATAATACCTTGTGCAAAACCAGTGCACAGGGTAGAATAACCTCCAAGTTTGGTGGCCATGTGTAAGAGCAAGTTATTTGTATTATTACACTATCTGGACTTTTTTCAGATATAAATCTTTACTGTATGTGTGTGATTGCCAAGTGCAAACCCATTTGTCACTATACGCCATTAAGACCAGACACCATGAAGAGAACACTCACCTGTTTCGGTCATAGCCAAAGATCTCTTTAATGTGCCTGGAGATTTCATCTTGTTCTTCACCTCCATCATCAATGAAGTCGTCCATTTCAGGGTCATACTCTTCCTCCTCCTCTTCATACTTCCTCTTGTATGCAATTGTGATGGGTGGTAACGTGGTTCCTGGAAAGAAAACACTCAAATTGTTGGCAACAGATCTTGTTCTTAGAGATTTGATTCGATTAGTTTGATTGAACTCTATTCAAAGATCGCGGACATTGAAACGTTTTAAACATCTTTGTGGATGTGTTAATGGCAAACTTCAGTCTGGTTAAATTTAAAGATTATTTGGAACACATAGTGATTTTAACAAAATAAGAAATTGGTAAATTAGTAATTATGGACTTCTGAACGGTCCCTCGGCAAGAACAAAACTGATCTTTAACCAGCTTCAGGCAATATATTTATTTCTCATTAAAGCTTTTGAAAATTGAATAAAACATTTACAAATCTTCACTAATAACATCATGCATTTCCAGGTTCTCACCTGGTGGTCTGTTCATCATAGGTCTGGGTGGAATTCCGGGTCTGATTCCCGGCATCATCCCAGGTCTCATCCCTGGTGTCATCCCAGGTCTCATCCCAGGTCTCATCCCTGGTGTCATCCCAGGTCTCATCCCTGGTGTCATCCCAGGTCTCTGTTGCATGCCTGGCCTTGGGGAGATCCCTGGTCTAGGTCCACCCACATTCTTGGATGAGATGGTCTCTGACACAACAGTGCACTTAGGTCTGCCCGGCCCTGACTCAAGGTTACTGTTTGGCCGCCCTGGTACCTGTCCTCCACTACCAGGTCTAAAAGGTCCTGGAGGTCGGGATCCACCTCTTTCAGGACCGCTGCCACCTGGCCTCGTCTGTGGCCGACCACCAGGTTTATTTAGGGGTATGCCCATAGGCCTCCCCTGACACTGCTTCCCTGCCTTAGAAGGACCACCCAAAGACGGCCTCAGTGAATTACCGTTTGAGTCTCCTCTGTTGGATTTCATCTCTCCGGCTATAGATCCCTGCTTTAATGAACTGCCTTGAAGGGGTCTCGTCTGCTGTGAGGTTGCAGGTTGAGACCTCTGGCCAGCTCCAACTCCGCCAGAATGCTTGTTCCCTTGAATACCTGAAGCTCCTTTTTGATGCAATGAAAAACTGTCTTTTCTTGAGCTAAGGTCACTTGAGGAGCTGGGTTTTTGGGTAAGTGCCGTCCTGGAGCTTACAAGTTTGGTTGAGACCTGAGATGAGGAGGCTTTTGAGGAGTTTTTACTAAGTGTAGCAACTGATGAAGCAGAAATGCCCATCTTGGATCGTTCTCTATCACTGTGAGGCGTCTTCTCCCGGTTCCTGTCTTTGTCACTTACAGAGGGTTTGGAAAAGGAGAGGCCTTTGTCACTTGTTCCAGCTGAGTGAACCTTATTTCCTGATCTACTGGGCAGACTAGACTTTTCTATGGAGTTCCTTTGCAGTTTGTTGTGTTTTTGTTCTTTTTCTGTAGTGTTTTTTCTAACTGAACTAGAAGTGGACAAAGACCGTCCTTCTCTTCCACCGTCTACCTTTGAGTCCCTGCTTTTGTCAGGTCTCTTAGCCTTGCGCTCCATCTCCAGTTCACGTATCTCTTCGGCCGTGCGAAGCCTTTCTTCCTTTTTCACCTTAGGTTTTAGCTCAACTGGCTCAAATTGCTTCTTTTCCGCCAGTCTGAGTAAATCAGCAAAGTTCATGGTAGGGGGAGGAGGTTTGGGTGGGCCAGAAATTTTTTTAGAAACAGATTTACTGGGCCCACTGACACCCATAGTCTTCTGTGGCCTAATCATCTCCCGCTCCGGCTCTCCCTCTGAATCTGTCTGCTCATACTCGTAATTATCTTCATCGTCTAGTGGATTGATTGCATTATTCCTAAAACTTTCAGAGTCATCTGGATGATCTTGCCGCTTATCTCCTTTTGAGCCCCTCTTTTTCGGAGTCTCTACCACTGGAATGCCGTTGTAGCCGTGGAAATTGTCCTTGGTTCTGGATGCCATGGCTCGTGCTTTACGATCTGACTTCAACTCAACCCTCTTCGCCAATAACTGCTCTTTTTGTTTTTTATTTTCGATTTCTGAAAAGAAAAAGAAAAGAGATTACCTGTATCTGTACAGATTTCAGTCAAAATTGTACCAATAGGGCTTTTCCTGACTGAGACACAAATCCAAATTTGGAGGTCTGATCTTTTCTTCTGAAAGACTATGAGTTAGAAATGAGATAAGAAATCTGTTCCAGGTTCTCTGACAGCGATGGTAGCCTTGAATCCCAACAGAAAATAGGAAAATTAAAAGTTTACCTTCGAATGCATCCATGCATATTTGGCTAAACTTTATCAGATGTTTATCAAACTCAAAACTACATCAACACACGTGCTAAGTAGCAAAATTGTGGAAGTTTGAAATCTGACCTGCCGATCAGAGGCAAAACTAGAGAAAACTGGCACAATTCAATCTCCAGCAGACAGAGCCATGCGCCTCTGATTTGAGTATTACAGTGTAAACTGACTTAATGTAAAGTTACCTTTCTGTTTTGAGTCATTTTGCCGCTTTTTTAGAAGTGCCTGCACAGCAGCGGGGTTTACACCTTTAGACTTTGGATCCTTTTTGGGTGGTCCCGTCTGAAGACTGTATCTCTTCTGCACAAAGAAAGACAAGGATGAGACACAAGATCAGCTGCTGAACGCAAAACTCCATAGAACTGTTTAAGTAAATATCCTATTTTTAAATAAACTACTTTCAAAGTTCTAGATGAGGTGTATATATATATATATATATATATATATATATATATATATATATATATATATATATACATACACACATATATACATATGTATGTATATATAAAACCAAATGGAACAACTTACTTGAGGCAGAAGCAAAGCAGGGTCATGCTATTGTAAGTTTAGCAACCAGCTGTAATGTAGGACCTTCACTGACACTTACAGATGGGAACACACTGAATTGTAACAATGCTTCCCACTTACGAACATATTTACAAGTGGTCATTTTTAACTTACCTGCACACTGCTGAGACCCTGGTTTTGCGAAGCGATGTCCAATATATTATCAAAGTCCATCATTTTGGCAGTAAACGATGACATACGTCAGCCTGAAGCGAATCAAGCAACCCACAGCCACCGGAATCGTGGTTCGCGTTTAGGATTTCGACAGTCACACTGTCAAGCCACGTTTACCTTGACAGCTACGCAAAGAGGACCGTACGTTGTTGAACCAACGCCACGGCGACCCCAAACCCTTATCTCAACGGAGGAGACCACATCTACTTTGTCACTTTTTTGAAGACAGCATACGCTAGCTCATTTAGCTAACCGTGGCTCCACAGCTGTTAACGTCAGCTAACTGAGATTCCAGGAGGACCGACTTCCTCTTTGTACGAACGAAAACGAGGCGACGTCCATCGAAAATACTCGTCTGACCCAATTACACGAAAAATCACATAGCTAAAAAAATCTATAATCTTTAATCCTGAGACGATTTAAAGCCAAACATTGACTAAGAACGACAAAATTAAACGGCCAAAGCGGAATGTGCAGAAGTGACATAGTTCACGCTACATGCTTCCGCTTTCGCTAGCGAGCAGAGAACGTGTGTAGAATCATGTCGTCTCGGTGTAAATCAATGGACGGAGGCAGGGGGGATCTATCTTGACTGTAAGTGCGCGCATGTACTAAAATCTTGGATTAATAATAGTTACAAAATGAGGATTACTTTAAATTAATCGAAAATCTGTTGAACTTATTGTGATTTAGTTTGTTGATAATATACATAGTATTGTAATAGCAGGAGTGCTTTTGCGTACGGCTTCAAAGTGAATCCAATCCATTCGAAGCGTTCCCTCCGTATTTTACGTTTCACAAAACTTCTCCTGTTCGCCATACGCAATATCCTTCCGAAAACATTATTATTTTTTTTTTACCGTAAAGAACCACTTGATGTCGCCACTTCTTGGACAATCTCGAAAGCTCTGGAAATCTCATTGCATAGATCAAGCTTTTACTTCGTCTACTCGGTGTAATTTGTATAGCCTTATGAAAGAACGATAAAGTAATAATTACTTTCCACTGATCTATATAATTATATAGCAGTTAAAAAAGTCAATTCTATACCAAAACGCAGCAGAATGTAGTTTTTCCTAAACAATATCCATTTTAAAATAAACATTGCCTTTAAACTATGGAATATTAAAAGTTTTATAACATGATAAACAAGAAATACTTAAAATCGTGTTGTAGTTTTCTGTCAAAATACTAATAGATTCAAGTTTATGGTTGCAATATGACAAATGGATAGGAGAACTGATAGTTTTCTAGAGCAATGTATTTTTGCAAAAATATTTTTGTAAGATGCAATTTGGAATATCTTTGAATTGTTTTAAGCTTTGTGATAAATAATTTACAAATAATATATTATGGAGTATAAAAAATTGCAAATAAAAAAAATGCTTCAAATAATCAGCATTAGTCATGTTCTAACTCTGATGTGGTGTATTTAATCCCCACAATTAAGGAGGCTGAATACAAATAAATTGTGCATGTTTATTCAATTTTTATTTGTAAAAATAAATAAAACCAAGTTTATTGTTTGCTGTGTCCCAGCCAGCACGCATGAGTGGGCCCCACTTGTGTTTGATGTGGGCTACATGGGTAATGAGTGGGCATGGGTTTTATCTGGGCGAACTGCATGGGACACATATGGTTAACCTAAATGAGACCCATATGGGCTGGCCCTATGGGCTAAATGCATGGGCCCTATTCAGCAACTAGGTGGGCTATCTGGGAATGGGATAGTACTGGGCAACACTATATGGGGCCCATGTGGTTTCAGTATCATGGGCCCAACATGGGAAGCCCATGTGGGCAGACCACATTGAACCCACATGACATCAGCATGGGCTGACCATATATGGGTTAGACCTGGGTGTGGATATGTGGGCCCCAGTCCTTTTTTAAGTGGGCTATCTGGGAATGGGATAGTACTGGGCAACAGTATGTGGGCCCAATCTGGTTCTAGTATCATGGGCCCAACATGGGAAGCCCATGTGGGCTGACCACATTGAACCCACATGACATCAGCATGGGCTGACCATATATGGGTTAGACCTGGGTGTGGATATGTAGGCCCCAGTCCTTTTTTAAGTGGGCTATCTGGGAATGGGATAGTACTGGGCAACAGTATATGGGGCCCATGTGGTTTCAGTATCATGGGCCCAACATGGGAAGCCCATGTGGGCTGACCACATTGAACCCACATGACATCAGCATGGGCTGACCATATGGGTTAGACCTGGGTGTGGATATGTGGGCCCCAGTCCTTTTTTAAGTGGGCTATCTGGGAATGGGATAGTACTGGGCAACAGTATGTGGGGCCCATGTGGTTCTAGTATCATGGGCCCAACATGGGAAGCCCATGTGGCTGACCACATTGAACCCACATGACATCAGCATGGGCTGACCATATATGGGTTAGACCTGGGTGTGGATATGTAGGCCCCAGTCCTTTTTTAATGGGCTATCTGGGAATGGGATAGTACTGGGCAACAGTATATGGGGCCCATGTGGTTTCAGTATCATGGCCCAACATGGGAAGCCCATGTGGGCTGACCACATTGAACCCACATGACATCAGCATGGGCTGACCATATATGGGTTAGACCTGGGTGTGGATATGTGGGCCCCAGTCCTTTTTTAAGTGGGCTATCTGGGGAATGGGATAGTACTGGGCAACAGTATGTGGGGCCCATCTGGTTCTAGTATCATGGGCCCAACATGGGAAGCCCATGTGGGCTGACCACATTGAACCCACATGACATCAGCATGGGCTGACCATATATGGGTTAGACCTGGGTGTGGATATGTAGGCCCCAGTCCTTTTTTAAGTGGGCTATCTGGGAATGGGATAGTACTGGGCAACAGTATATGGGGCCCATGTGGTTTCAGTATCATGGGCCCAACATGGGAAGCCCATGTGGGCTGACCACATTGAACCCACATGACATCAGCATGGGCTGACCATATATGGGTTAGACCTGGGTGTGGATATGTGGGCCCCAGTCCTTTTTTAAGTGGGCTATCTGGGAATGGGATAGTACTGGGCAACAGTATGTGGGGCCCATCTGGTTCTAGTATCATGGGCCCAACATGGGAAGCCCATGTGGGCTGACCACATTGAACCACATGACATCAGCATGGGCTGACCATATATGGGTTAGACCTGGGTGTGGATATGTAGGCCCCAGTCCTTTTTTAAGTGGGCTATCTGGGAATGGGATAGTACTGGGCAACAGTATGTGGGGCCCATGTGGTTTCAGTATCATGGGCCCAACATGGGAAGCCCATGTGGGCTGACCACATTGAACCCACATGACATCAGCATGGGCTGACCATATATGGGTTAGACCTGGGTGTGGATATGTGGGCCCCAGTCCTTTTTTAAGTGGGCTATCTGGGAATGGGATAGTACTGGGCAACAGTATGTGGGGCCCATGTGGTTCTAGTATCATGGGCCCAACATGGGAAGCCCATGTGGGCTGACCACATTGAACCCACATGACATCAGCATGGGCTGACCATATATGGGTTAGACCTGGGTGTGGATATGTGGGCCCCAGTCCTTTTTTAAGTGGGCTATCTGGGAATGGGATAGTACTGGGCAACAGTATGTGGGGCCCATGTGGTTCTAGTTCATGGGCCCAACATGGGAAGCCCATGTGGCTGACCACATTGAACCCACATGACATCAGCATGGCTGACCATATATGGGTTAGACCTGGGTGTGGATATGTGGGCCCCAGTCCTTTTTTAAGTGGGCTATCTGGGAATGGGATAGTACTGGGCAACAGTATGTGGGCCCATGTGGTTCTAGTATCATGGGCCCAACATGGGAAGCCCATGTGGCTGACCACATTGAACCCACATGACATCAGCATGGGCTGACCATATATGGGTTAGACCTGGGTGTGGATATGTGGGCCCCAGTCCTTTTTAAGTGGCTATCTGGGAATGGGATAGTACTGGGCAACAGTATGTGGGGCCCATGTGGTTTCTAGTATCATGGGCCCAACATGGGAAGCCCATGTGGGCTGACCACATTGAACCCACATGACATCAACATGGGCTGACCATATATGGGTTAGACCTGGGTGTGGATATGTGGGCCCCAGTCCTTTTTTAAGTGGGCTATCTGGGAATGGGATAGAACTGGGCAACAGTATATGGGGCCCATGTGGTTTCAGTATCATGGGCCCAACATGGGAAGCCCATGTGGGCAGACCACATTGAACCACATGACATCAGCATGGGCTGACCATATATGGGTTAGACCTGGGTGTGGATATGTGGGCCCCAGTCCTTTTTTTAAGTGGGCTATCTGGGAATGGGATAGTACTGGGCAACAGTATGTGGGGCCCATGTGGTTCTAGTATCATGGGCCCAACATGGGAAGCCCATGTGGGCTGACCACATTGAACCCACATGACATCAACATGGGCTGACCATATATGGGTTAGACCTGGGTGTGGATATGTGGGCCCCAGTCCTTTTTTAAGTGGGCTATCTGGGAATGGGATAGTACTGGGCAACACTATATGGGGCCCATGTGGTTTCAGTATCATGGGCCCAACATGGGAAGCCCATGTGGGCAGACCACATTGAACCCACATGACATCAGCATGGGCTGACCATATATGGGTTAGACCTGGGTGTGGATATGTAGGCCCCAGTCCTTTTTTAAGTGGGCTAACTGGGAATGGGATAGAACTGGGCAAAACTATGTGGGGCCCATGTGGTTTCAGTATCATGGGCCCAACATGGGAAGCCCATGTGGGCTGACCACATTGAACCCACATGACATCAGCATGGGCTGACCATATATGGGTTAGACCTGGGTGTGGATATGTAGGCCCCAGTCCTTTTTTAAGTGGGCTATCTGGGAATGGGATAGTACTGGGCAACAGTATATGGGGCCCATGTGGTTTCAGTATCATGGGCCCAACATGGGAAGCCCATGTGGGCAGACCACATTGAACCACATGATCAGCATGGGCTGACCATCTATGGGTTAGACCTGGGTGTGGATATGTAGGCCCCAGTCCTTTTTAAGTGGGCTAACTGGGAATGGGATAGAATTGGGCAAAACTATGTGGGGCCATGTGGTTTCAGTATCATGGCCCAACATGGGGAGACCATGTGGGCTGACCACACTGAACCCACATGACATCAGCATGGGCTCATGTCATGGGCCCAACATGGGGAGACCATGTGGGCTGACCACACTGAACCCACTGTGGGTTCAGTGTGGTCAGTACATATCCACGCCCAGGTTGACCTGGGTGTGGATATGTAGACCCCAGTCCTTTTTTAAGTGGGCCTAAATGAGACAAAATTGTAGAACAATGTACAGGGGTTGGACAATGAAACTGAAACACCTCTCATTTTAGTGTGGGAGGTTTCATGCCTGAATTGGACTAGCCTGGTGGCCAATCTTCATGAATTGCACATTGCAACAGTAAGAGCAGAGTGTGAAGGTCCAATTAGCAGGGTAAGAGCACAGTTTTGCTCAAAATATTGCAATGCACATAACATTATTTGGGACATACTGGAGTTCAAAAGAGGGCAAATTGTTCACCAAGACAGCAAGTCTTTGTGATTATCAAGAGCCACAGTATCCAGGGTAATGTCAGCATACCACCAAGAATGGCGAACCACATCTAACAGGATTAACTGTGGATGCAAGATGAAGCTGTCTTAAAGAGATGTTTGGGTGCTAACCTGGATTGTATCCCAAAAACATAACCACGGTGCCCAAATCACGGTAGAATTAAATGTGCACCTCAACTCTCCTGTTTCCACCAAAACTGTCCGTCGGGAGCTCCACATGGTCAATATACACAGCCGGGCTGCTATAGCCAAACTTTTGGTCACTCGTATCAATGCCAAACGTCGGTTTCAATGGTGCAAGGAGCGAAAATCTTGTGCTGTGGACAATGTGAAACATGTATTGTTCTCTGATGAGTCTACCTTTACTGTTTTCCCCACATCCGGGAGAGTTACGGTGTGGAGAAGCCCCAAAGATGCATTCCAGCCAGAGTGTTGTATGCCAGAGTGAAGCATGGGGGTGGATCATTGATGGTGTGGGCTGCCATATCATGGCATTCCCTTGGCCCCATACTTGTCCAAGACGAATTGATGCTGTATTGGCCTCAAAAGGAGGCCCTACACCACGCTAATAAGTTATTGTGGTCTAAAACCAGGTGTTTCAGTTTCATTGTCCAACCCTGTAGTTAACCTGTCACTTTCAAAATTTTGACTGTATGTCAAAGCAAAAGCTGCAAGAGCAAGATTCTCAAAACTTGGAAAGAATTACCCGAGATGTCAGCTTTATAGTCTTTGCCAAGGCAATTGTTACTCAGCTGGCCTCTAATGGAGTTGATGTAAGGTAAATTGTAGAATTTAATTTTTTCCTTGTAGGAAACCTCGACGATAGTAAAGGTTGGTGACCTTGACCATTGTCGAGGTCTCCAGGACGAAGGTGACCTCGTCTTGGAGATCACCCAAGGATATATTTTGCTGATAGAACAGAACATCCATGTCTTCCTAATGTTTGAACCTAAAACATGTTCACTGTGTGATATCTATGCCTGGCTCATTTACAAACACTAGGCTTCCAGAGGACCAGGATATTAAAACATTAAAAATATTCTACAATGCTTTATTTTTTAAACCAGTTCAGTATTGCTCTAGCCACACTTTGAACCTTAACATTTTTTCATGTTATTATTTTATGCTAGAACAGTCCAGTCCAGTCTCCAAGCCAGTACGCATGAGTGGGCCCCCCTTGGGTTTGTAGTAGGCCATATGGGTAATGAGTGGTCATGGGTTTTATCTGGGCAAACCTCATGGGACACATATGGTTAACTAAAATGGGACCCCTATGGCTGGCCCATTTGGGCTAAATGTATGGGCCCTATTCAGCAACAATGTGGGCTAACTGGAAATGGGACAGAAATGGGCAACACTATTTGGGGCCCATGTGGTTTCAGTATCATGGGCCCCACATGAGAAGCCCAATGTGGGCTGTCCACATTAAACTAACATGACATGAGCATGGGCTAACCATACATGGGTTGGACCTGGGCAGGAAAATGTAGCCCCTAGTACTTTTTTTCATGGTCTAAATGGGACAAAATTGTAGAACATTTTAATCGACAATGTGGTTACCCTGTCACTTTCAAACTTTTCACTGTATGTCAAAGCAAAAGCCAGTTCAGTATTGCTCTTGCTACACTTTGAACCCCTAACTTTTTTTTCATTTTATTATTGCAGTCTGAATGTCTTAAAACATTTTTTAGAAATAATCTGTTTGAAATATATACGTAAACTCATATTCTGGTGCTTACTCAAAATTAAGAGTGGTCATGGTTGAGCTTTAGTCCTTGTTTTATTTTTAATAATAATAACTTTTTATTTTATTTTTATTATTATTTTTTATCAATTGGATGTTTAGACATCCATAGAGTTTACTGCAGCCTGTTCGCAGCAAGATTTAAATTTTTATTTGGACAAATAGTTCAGATCAGACCATTGTGAAAAATATCACAAAATGTTAGAAAATAAACAAAACTCATTAGCAAGTGAGAGACAAGAGTAAAATTTTGAGCATCTGTTTTTTCATATATTTGCAAACATTTTCCAAGTCATCAGTATAAATAAAAATAAAAAATAAAAAAAACGTAACATTTCTGTTAATGATTCATTTGGTTCCAATTACCTTTTTGTTCATTGTTTGCTCTGAGGCACCGTTGCCAATAAAGGTTGGTGAATTGAAGTACCGGTAGGCACTTTACACATCCACTGAAGAAATAGTTCCAAAACATATTTGAATAAGGAGGACAACGAAATGTATTTATTTACATTGAGAACTTTTGCTACATCGGTTTTACATTTGTTAAACCGATGTAGCACTCTCAAAAATTAATCTTGTGTTTCTTGGAAAACGTAAAATGACCCGCGGATGGATATGCGGTTTCAAAATCAAGCCTGTTCTCTTCATCAGTCCGTTGGCGCGGAGTCTGCCTGTTGGCTGATCTACGAAAGAATCTGTAAGTACATTTCTTCTGTTTTACCTAGTACCAAATTTTAGGGAGAGATTTTAAATCGCTTGTTAAAAAAATTGTTGCTCGTAACAAATCGGACGACAGTATCCCAAAAGAGACTTAATTGTATTGTTATTTTGCTTTTCTTTAGGGTGATACTTTTTCTGATATTGCTAACACACACAGCTACACACAATAAGCAGATTTTAGTGCAGACCGATTTCAAGATTTCAAACGCAGCGTTGTGGGCCAAACCATTTTCAAATACCGCCGCCATTCTATTTGTTGAGCTGCCATTGGTTCATTTGAGCGCCAACGAGGCAGAATGAAATCGGTTCACTGAAGAATCTATGTTGCTAGCAGAGGTTGTTACAAAGTGTCTGGACACAATAAAACCATTTGTATGATTTAAAAAGAGTAACTATTGTGCTCTCATTCTATGTACTTGGGCTTTTAATCTTTCTCACAGTCACATCAGCATGCATGGGTGGGTCTCATGTATGGATTCAGGCTGGTTTGGCTGGGACCCCATGCAAGATTATTATTGTCGTTTTTTTCAATAAAACTGCATGAATCGTTTAGCTTTGGGCTATATAGGTAATGATAAGAGGGCATGGGTTTTATCTGGGCCAACTGCGTGAGGCTCAAAAGGTTAACCGAAATGGGACTCATATTGTTGGCTCAATTGGGTTAAATGTATGGGCCCAATTCAGCATTAACGTGGGCTAACCGGGCATGGGACAGAAATGGGAACACTATATGGGGCCCATGTGGTTTCAGTATATTGGCCTAAAAGGTTTTTTGTAAATAGGATGAAGGCATTGTAGTTCATATTTTTAAATTCTTTTTTTAATTGTTGTGTGACACTTTAAAGCGTTTTGTTATGTCATAGTTTATTTCAATCTGCCGCTATTGTGTTGGTCTAGAGTAGTCATCAGTGTCAGGGTTCCTGTGTGTATGTGAGTGTCGCATCTTATTTCAGCGAGGATCTTTGTGAGGAGCCCGTGGAGCTTGGCACAGGTGGAGGAGCAGCAGAATCTTCAGTCTACGCTAGATTGACTGAAGATTCTACTGGTGTATGCTAGATGGTTGCATACACCGGTAGTCACTCTGGCCTCTCCTGTTGTGAACAGTTTTCTGAGAACGTTTCTGTGTCTACTAGAAGTCACCTGGTCTCTGTGTTTGTTCGATCCTAGGGGTTTTGTCGCCTCATTCGAGAACTCACCAGTGAATACCTGCCTGCTCGCTCCGCCGATTCCACTGCCTCCACTCCACCCTTCGAGCTTCCAGCTCTCTTCCATTCCCACCTCGCATTTACCTTCGGAACCGCTGCACACCCTCTCTCCCTAACCCGCACCGAAGTAAGCCTGTTCCTGTTTCCCCTCCGATCACTCATTCTAAGCCCGTCATAACTAAGTTCTCGTTTCAGGCCAACCTGGTCGAGTGGTCCTCACCCTTCCGCTGATGTCCGGGAAATAGATTTTATTTTGTCCTGTTGTAAATAAATCACTCACTCATCCCTATCCAACGTGTGGTTACTGCATGTGGGTCCGTAAATTGAAACCCATCATGTCAATCAGTGGCCAAGCCTGAAACAAATATTGAAAGATGAAGAAATTCTTTTTGATATTTTTGCAATATTTAGCTAGCAGTTATGTGAAATGTACTTATATTTAATTGTAGCTCTAATTTTTTTATATGTGCAATGTTTTAGGCTTTATTAGTTACATTTATAGTGATTTTCTAAACTTCTCTTAAGAGTAATACTACTGTCTTAGTCCTGTCACGTTAACAAAGAAATTAGGATAATTGCAAAACTGTTCAGTGTTTACAATATAAGGCTTCAGTAGTTAATCTATACAAAGGCTGTTTTGCCTTAATTTTTTTATTTTTTTGAAAAGTCTAAATGTTATATTGCACTAATAAAATATATATTTTGCAGGCTTCAAGAGGATCAGCGTGTGAAGATCACTTTATAATGATTTGAAAAAGGTAGATTAATATGTTAGTGAAATTAAGCACATAAGAGTGATATAATGACAAACTGATGAACAAAAACAAAATGTTGTCCTGTTATTGTCATTGTACTTAAGGTTGCCATGGCTACAGAAATTGGAGGAGCATCCTTAGATGACACAATACAACCAGCTGTGCGATTCCTCATGTCCCATGAACTGGAAGTCCAGTTCAACCTTTTTGGCCAACATTGGAAACAAGCTCTTGGACCTGCGTCTCTTTGATGTTTTGTATGGTAAATATCAGTTTTTATTGTCAGAGTAACTTTTTTTTTTACTTTTCTTTCTTAAACATATGTTAATTTATTTTGGTTGTTTTATGCTTTTGTTTGTTATTTTTAGTAATGTTTTTAGGTTAAAAATTGAGTCTTCAATTTTTGGTTTTATTTGAACAGTATTCTTTCACTGTTGTTAAGAACTTAAAAATTTGAAGGTAATATTGTTTGCATTTCAAACAATATTAAAATAACCACAAAACCACGATAGAACCTAGTAGTTGATTTATATAGATGGATATATTTTAAATTTACAGTAAGAATATAGTTTCTGTACATAATAATGATGACTCAAGAGTCCTTTGATTATGGCATATCTCTGCAAGCATTTTTGCCCCATGAAGGGGGAGATGCAAATCTCATGAATGTTACATTGTGCTAAAATGAAACACTAATACAATTTCTACCTTTGCTTGTTATTTCAGGGGACTTAAAAGAAATTATCCATCTACAGAATCACACAAGCATACAGCAAAGACTCTCGAAGTGGTTTACTGGAGCCCGAGTGGAAGTGGAAATAGACTAGAGAGACTGCCAGTTCAAACTCAGGTTGGGAGGTCTTTCAAGATGGACAGTTTCAGTAAAGTATGAGAGATTTCAAATTTAAGCATGCATATGGCATGTAGGTTATTTTTTAAAAATGTTTAACAAAAATGTATTGTGAAAGATCTATATAGGTGTGTATATTCACATTGTGTGTATCAATGTGAATATACGTGTATAAAGTTATATAGATAGTATTTAGATGTATACATTTATAGACCTGTAGGAAAATATGTAGGTGTCTTTATTTGTGTGCATCTATAGATATATATTTATAGATCTGTTTATAAGTTTGTTATAGTAAACTAGCTTCTGTTATTTTCAAAGATGTCGTGAATAATTGCAGATTTCTTTTGTGGCACCATTCCCTGAGTATTAATGAAGTTCTAATAATTGCTGTAGTGAGGTAAAAAATAACTCCTGACAATATTTTAAATTACTAAATAAAAGCCTTGAGCAAAATAAATTTTTCATCTCTTTTTTTTTTTTTTTTATTTGAACACGTTTTAAGCTAGACTTTGGATTGTTGATCAAGATTGCATATCTATGAATGTAATTCACATCCAGGTTAGATGAGAATTGTTCCTACAGGATTAAGGCATCTGGGTCCCGCTGAAAGCCCAGTCAGCACCCATTGAAATCAACCTGGGCAAACCCATGTGGGGCCACCATGGAAACCGTGGACAAACCCACTTGGTACCCATATTCTAGCCCAGTTCAGACCCAATAGGGACCCACGTAAATATTCTTGACAGCACCCTAGTGGGCCACAGATGGGCCTCATGTAAGTTAACCATGTGGGACCCACTGAAAACCCAGTCAGCACCCATTAAAATCTACTTGGGCAAACCCATGTGGGGCCACCATGGAAACCGTGGACAAACCCTTTTGGGACCCATATTCTAGCCCAGTTCAGACCCAATTGGGACCCAGGTAAATATTCCTGACAGCACCCTAGTGGGCCACAGATGGGCCTCATGTGAGTTAACCACATGGGCCCACTGAAAACCCAGTTAGCACCCATAAAAATTTACTTGGGCAAACCCATGTGGGGCCACCATGGAAACCGTGGACAAACCCACTTGTTACCCATATTCTAGCCCAGTTCAGACCCAATTGGGACCCACGTAAATATTCTTGACAGCACCCTAGTGGGCCACAGATGGGCCTCATGTGAGTTAACCATGTGGGACCCACTGAAAACCCAGTCAGCACCCATTAAAATCTACTTGGGCAAACCCATGTGGGGCCACCATGGAAACCGTGGACAAACCCACTTGGTACCCATATTCTAGCCCAGTTCAGACCCAATTGGGACCCACGTAAATATTCCTGACAGCACCCTAGTGGGCCACAGATGGGCCTCATGTGAGTTAACCACATGGGCCCCACTGAAAACCCAGTTAGCACCCATAAAAATTTACTTGGGCAAACCCATGTGGGGCCACCATGGAAACCGTGGACAAACCCACTTGGTACCCATATTCTAGCCCAGTTCAGACCCAATTGGGACCCACGTAAATATTCCTGACAGCACCCTAGTGGGCCACAGATGGGCTTCATGTGAGTTAACCATGTGGGACCCACTGAAAACCCAGTTAGCACCCATTAAAATCTACTTGGGCAAACCCATGTGGGGCCACCATGGAAACCGTGGACAAACCCTTTTGGGACCCATATTGCCTGCCCACTTATATCCCATATGGGGCCCACCTAGGTGTGCTGGCTGGGGTGCTACACCATTTTAGTTGATTTATGACAGAAAATCCCATAAGAATAGACTGACATTTGTAATTGTAAAATGGAAAATTACAAAATATTCAAAGAATATGAATATGTTCACAAACCGCTTTATTTTGGAAAAGCTTGACTGGAATGCAACCAACAGCACATCGCCTATTATTTAGGCAATGCACTCTATTTATGTATTTGGACTGAAGTCTGTGACCGTAAGTCGACAAAAAGAAAAAGTTCACGGAGCATCAATACTCTCGCGAGGCAAGCTGCAATGGAATACAGCTAACAATATTTATGTATCAGTTTAAAGTTGTTTGTTTAAATTTCTAGCTTTTTACTACACAAAATTACATTAAAGAACATTAAAATGTGTGGCCTTTTATTTATTTATTTTCTGGCAATGTGACAAAATGTGAAGAAAAAAGAAAGGTCAGCTTATTCTTATTTGTCTTTTGTTTCCTCAGGTTTCTGAAGTTTTTCCCGAACAGTAATTTGTATTCGACTTTAGGGGGCAGAGTTTGCCATAAAACCTGTTTTCTGACGGAAATGATGCAATTTTTCTCTACTCTGCAGTGCAGAGTGTAATACCTTTGAGGTTTTAACTTCCAACTACCTTTTGTCTCTTTAATCTCCTTATATGGCTTAACTTTATCAAATTGTTTCCATTTCTACGTCAATGGGTGATAAGCCCAGGGCTGTCTGTCGAAAATAAATAATAGATAAATCAAAGATTAGGGGAATGGATAAATAAATAAATAAAAAAGCCGATTTGTGGGTCTGAAATGAGTTTTGCTTCTTTACTTTCCCAATAATCACATTTCAGATTAATCTGTTTATAAACCTGTAAGCAGCTCAAGGCATTGACTAGAACACTTACATCTATTCACTCACTTAAGCTTCACTTTTGTGACTGGTAACACAAAGTTAAGCCCATTTTTGCCACTGATCTCTGAAATCTGCTAGAATGAGTTCATTCAATGTTGTCTTCACTTGTTTCAGTTCAGCAACAGCCTAAATACATTTCAGACTTATCAAATTCTTCTCCTAACCAGGGGGATGTACAGGTAGCTTCCTGTTAGTATTTAGGTAACAGTTTGAGACAAAGGGAGCATGGATTTAGTTCTGTTACAGGGCCCACTTTATCTAAAAATCTGACCCCTGAAGTCAGATGCAGTCTCTTTGCTGATAATCTTTTCTCCATTAATCGTTTTGTGGAACACTTTGTAACTTTGCAAAAAAAAAAAAAAAAAAATAGGTACGTGAAGTGGATATTTAATATTAATAATGTCATGTCACTGTCAGGATGCCATAAAATAAACCTGAAACTCCCTCCACTCACATCCTTTTTTTCTGTGGCTAAATACAGTTGTACTGTAAATATTTCTTAAGTTAGTTAGAGGACATTAGTATGCAAACAGCATCATGAAGACAGAGGAAACAACAGACGGGTTATGGATTTAGCTGTGGGAAAGTTGTAAGCTGTGTTGTGGTGGAGGGTGACTTACAGTCAGCTGCATGGGTATCATAGGGTAATTGTTCAGGAGAGAACTACTGACTGGAAGGGAGTTGTTTCTAATTGGTTTTCTTGTGTGACATTTTGTGCTGAAACTAAATGTTGAGGAAAAAAAATACCTGGAAGAACAGGATCTGTGCCTTTTTCGGTTATATTTTCTTGTTGAACATGCACAATAAAATGCATATAGATGCTAGTTCTGGGAGCAGCCTCATTATAAGTGACAGGCTGAGGAAGAGCATAAGCCAGAGACGCAGCCAAGAGGTGCATATTAACTCTGGGGGAGCTGCGCAACTTGGGTGGAAGGACCTGTTGAGAGATTTTTAGTGATGCGGTACATAAATCTGGCCTTTTTGGAAAATTAACAACAACGAGATTAGTCATGTGGTAAAGTATTGTGGAAGAATGTGTTTTGTGTTCATGTATACAAAACAAAAAAGTACCTTCTGGCCTAAAGCCAAAGCGTTATGTGTAGCGGGTAACATCCTCTCTGCGAAACATGGGGATGGCACTATGATGGGTTTGTCCATTTGAAATCTTTCTTTGACCCGATTTAGTCCATCATAGTTAAGGATTGTGTTACAAAATCGACTATAAGCTCGGCCCCTGACGCTGAAAAGCTCAATTTCCGAAAATGTAAATAAAGACCATCTGCTTCAATATGTAAATACCACCCTGACTCCTCCAATCAGGACGTCTCTAACGACTGGACCCGCCCACTTTACCACGACTCTCTGCCCCTATTGGTCAAAATGCGCAGGCCTGCTCACGTTAACGTGCTTCTGTTCCCTCCTTCCGGGATGTTGGGCCGCCCACAGGATCGAGGACAAAAACAATCGTGCATCCCTCTGACAGTGCTGCGCAAACAAGGAGGTCCAGGCGAATTAAAAGAGCGGTTAGATATACTTAAACAGTTTTTGTCTTTCAGCCGACACGACAGCTTCGGGGGAGAAATGGTGTCTCCGGTAACAGTGGTGAGTATCGGCGTCAAAACCGGCGTTTTAAACAGTCACGTAGGGAGAAGAAAAGCGGCGTCAGTTTATTTTCCACAGCGAAACATTCTCTGTGCTTTCTGGACTATTATTTAATCGCTAATAATAACAACAATAATCATAGAAATGTAGTTCCTGCATGTGTTCTGGAAACACAATACGGAAACTTTGGTTGTTTTTTTCCCCCTAGTATCTGTTTCATTTGTCATTTTTCGGCGTTGCGGCGGTTCTGTCAGTTTTGAGGAGATTGCTCATGTTGCAGAAGGGAGCCCCGACTGAAAAGGAAAGAAAGCGCCTCATCATGTGACTCAGTCGAGCCTTTCTTTGCCTTATTTTCTTTCCCGGATCCCCTCAGTGAACGCATGCGCCAAGCAGGACCCGCATATGGCTCTCCTTCTGTCTCCTCTGCTTTTAGCACAGCTGTACGTCGACTCCTCCGTGGCGACATAACCCGGGAAGTCGTTTTATTTTGACACACACACACACAAAAACCCAAAACAAACAAACAAACAAAAAAATAAATAAATAAATAAGACGCTCATGAATAATTTACTTTGAAAGAGTCTCTATGAAATGTTACCCCGCCTGGAGGGGCCTTGAAGAATGGTGTGGGGTGTCTTGGCCTGTGGTGAACCCCGATGTGTGAGGGGAGCCTGTGTGGAGGAATGTCTGCCATACAGACGAGTTGCCTGAGTGATAACGATGCTGTGCAGGTTGGCGGTTTTCCCCATGAAAACTAGGAACTGCAGTTCCAGGAAAATCCCTTGAAACCGTTTTCTGAGCCTTTAAAGGGAAATCTACTCGTAAAAACTTCACACGACTTAAGAGTAGTCAGTTTTTATCCGTCTAACCTTAATTTCAAATACTCTTAAGTGGTGCGTCATTTTGATGTGGGAGGATAATGATAAATGGTGTTTGTTGTTTTCTTGTTTACAAAAAAAACACAAAAAAAACAACAACATAGTAAATGCCTGGCATTCAGTACTCTGGGGAAGCATCGAACATCTAGAGACTCATTTTTCCAGAGCTGTTCAAGAGTGCCTCTGAAAATCATTTTCAAATCTCCAGTCTGGATGAAGGTCAGGCCTGGGAATGCACTATTATAACACAATAAGCTTTGATGTAAACCATCCTGTTTCAATTCTGGCTGTTTATTTATAGTCATTGTGCTGTACGGCGAACTTCCGGCGCAGTCCGAGGTCCTATGCAGCTTAAATCAGGTTTACTTTTAAGGATTAAACAGAACTGTAGCTCCATCCATCTTCCTATGTCTGACATTTCCTGCCCTTACTAATATTTCTTTTTTAATATTTAAATTTTGTCCCCTTTGACCACAGTGCCTTCAGTTTACCTCTAAACTTCTCTGCAACTTTGTATTACGTTGTGTTCTTTTGTCTTCATGATCATTTTTTCACTCAGTGTTCTCCTGAAGTCGTCCGAAGTTCTCACAATACAACAGGATTATGTGCTAACTGACCTGTGTGGGCTGTTACGTGTACTAGTTTTTATTTAGAGATGCCAGAGTCTATATTTTTATTTCTAAAAAAAAAAAAAAAAAAACTGCCAAAAACTCTGAGTCATTTTCCTTTCACTTCATATGTATATGTTGCTTTATTTGACCTAAATAACAGACATACATAGGTACAAGTAATCATCTTTAACTTGTTACTTACAGTGTGCATTCATGTTTGTGGTTCCAGCAAATTGGGGAAAAACATCAAGGGGAACTGGTACTTTTGCAAAGCTTTGCATCTGTTAAGCTCTTAAAATGAAAAGTATCAAAGTCAAATGAAACATCCGAAGGTGTTTATTACCCCATAAATGCCATCATTTGTATCATTTGTGTGCAAAGGAACCTACATTTTTGCCCTTGTTTTTATTTCTGTCTCTAAACTAGGTTTTGATAAACACTGCCATGCTCGGCACCATCTGCCAAACCAACTGTTGTGTGCTCATAAGGGAAGTTATCAAGTTTTTGTCCTTCTGCAGATGGCATCAAATCAAACACAATTTCATAAAAAAAATAAAATATTTTCACCCGTCACCAAGAAATACTTTTTGTAGGCCCATCATTATACATTTGATCTAATTAGGTGATTTTCTACATTTCTCTAATATAAAAGTAATAAGTGTTAGTTGTATTGAATTGGTCTTTCGGAAAATGAGCATTGTCATATTAAAATGCCAGCTGTGCCTGCTAGGTTCTTTCTTGTTGTACGCTTGCCCTCTTCCAGATTGAGTGTCTGAGTGTCTTTAAATATTTCGGTGTATCATGTTACATACCCACAGTGGTTGGGTAGACGCCATCCTGGATGGATCTTATTTGGCACTTCAGTGCGTCTAGTATGTGTTGGCTGCTATGATAGTTGCTTGTTTGTTCCTGGACTAAATCTTCCAGGCTAAATCAGATCTCAGAGAAATTACTCATGGACATAACAGTTTGTCAACAACTTTCATTTGTGTCATTAGGTTTTCTGTTTATTTTTTTAACTTGTAACCTGCATCGTTTGTTGTTTCATGTAGCCTGAGAAATACAACCTGCACATGTCTGGAAAATATATCAGGAAAAAAGAAATATGAATCTCAGTTATTGGATATTTTTTACTTTGTGTGGTCTTTCCACCTCTTTGATCACCAAAATATCCCATGACTTTCTTGTAACGGTCAAGCCAATCATTAACAGTGTTATGGTTCAACAGTCAACAGGGAAACAGGTGTTTGCCATGCAGATTAATGTTTATTGACATCCCTGGTAAATATATAAAACAGGCTTTGAAATAAATTAAGCTTTTTATGCTTTTAATATAATCCTGTCATGTAAAAATATATAACTTTTGACACAATCACTATGCATGTACATTTTAATAGGTGCATCAATGCTGCACATCTTAAAATTCCTATTAAATAAATGTACATGCATTTTTTTATTGTTTTAAATTGATCACACTATTAGATAACTTTAATTTAAATTATTTTAAGATTTTTTAAAAACATTTTCCACTGGTTCTAGTAATATGGATGGAGGTTTACGTGTCAAAGCAACCTCTGCACAGTAACAAACTTCATTTTATTGTGTCATTAATCAAACGTCTACATAGTAGTAAAAAAATTAATTTTGCTCGCTTCTAAATTAAGGAAGTTAACAGCCGACTGTCTAATTAGGACTAACAGTTGTCATTAATACCTCTCTGGCCGCAGTGTTCGCACAGTCAAACTTATGTCTCATGGAAAGTAAAACTATAGCTAGACAAACTTTGTGTCTCGATGAACTTTAAGATATTCACGTTGAGACGGTATCAACAATATCAACAGTATTAACCGGAATCTCGGAACAGAAAAGCGAGATCAGTCAAGAGAAAAATAATATAAATATATAAAATACTGCTTGTATTTTAGCAAGTAATATTTTTTTAATTCTTCTCAGATATTCATATTCATTAATTTTATTAATGTTTTTTTTTTTAAATATCTTACCTCTCTTAACTATATTTTCACCCTTTTAACACCAAACACATACATTTGTATTCGATCTCAAGCAAAACTCTATTACCTATTGCTTATTAATGAATGACAAACAGCACAACATGAATATGTTGGGGTTTTGCTGTACAGACACATGATAAAAATGGTGGTGATGTTGGCTAGTCTGATACTACTGGCTCTGTTTATGCCTCCGATCGGCTCCCTTTTGGCCTTGGTAGCCACTACATGGACTCTCACACACAGGACGGAAAAGTGCATAATGCTGAGATGTGACTTAGCTCCCGTGACTTGTTTCACCTTCTTTTCCAGGAATCTGATAATATTTCAAATAAATGCACAAGTTGTTCCAGGGTTCTTCTGTCTGCAAAATTGCAGCTCAACTGATTCTGTAAATTTGAAGTTCAAAAAATAAAATTAAAAGAACTGATAGGAAAAACTACAATTTAGATATTTAACCTACCATTTAGATCTTTTCAAATATCATTGTTTATAATAAAAACTATTTAATGTCCATTTCAGCATAATTAAATAACTGGTTTCAGCACAGAATTGTACTTATTTAAAATAAAATAAGAAATTCTAGATATGATCATTCACCCTTTCTAGTCCAGAGAGATAAAACGCTTTTTGCCACTTTATTAGGTACACCTTTCTCTATTAGGTTGGACCTCTTTTTGTCTTAAGAACTGCCCTGATTCTTCATGGCATGAATTAGCTATCACCAACCTCCCTGAGTGTTTGTTCCATATTGCCATGACTGGATAATTTATTTGCTGGAGTCACAGGTTGCAGACCTGGCTGGTGTAACGGCATATTTTACAACCTGAGTTTAAGCATCTCGAAAGGCTGGTGCCCATGTAGCTGAAGTAATAAGCTGCATAAAAGGTCCTGCTTCAAGGACCTTTAAGCTTCTTCATCCCTCTTTTTCTTCAAAGAGTCTGAAGTAATGAGTCGGCTTTTGGTTTTGATCTAAAACTCTGAAAAGACAGTGTTATTTATTTGTATAAATTTATGTACAACATATATGCCTCCTTGTTATTCTTCTTAATCAAAGTGTCAGCGTCATGCTGGTTTCTCAAATTTTGCTCTGGAATGTTTGTGGACATATGATAAAGTGTGTGCCTGTTCCTTGTTGTTTTCCTGCTGGCTGCTGGATATATCAGACACACCAGGGCGATCTCAGATATCGTACTCCATCCTGTAGTGTAATTTAGTTCACTTTTGTATTGAGGTGTTGCACAATCTATGTCCTCTCTTTCCTCTGGGAGAATAGGCTGTTTGACCGACAGTAACCCCTCAGTCTCTCACTTTCTGTTCCCGTCTTCACCTCCTATTTCCCCCAGATGCCATTTAAAAGCTGATAAACCTTCCTCATATATTGTAGTCGTACCCTGAAAGACCTCCTGGTCCTTCTTTTCTCATTCTTTTCCTTCACCTTTATTTGAACTCTTGCAGTTTCCCTTTTACAAATCAACATCTTTTGCCCTGTCTTGTCAATCATTTTTCACAAGCACTGTTCTCCCTTCTTTCCTCTCTGTTTTTTTTTGTTCCACTTTTATCCTCCTTACTTCTGCTTCAGTGAACCCTCACTTAATTCCTATTCCTCTCAACATGACTTTTCCACTTCGTGTTTGTCTGCTGCTCTAGCTTGAGAATAATTCCCAGAACATTCTATGGTCTACGCTTTTTAATCCTGCTGGGCCTTTTTTCTTTTAACAGAAAAAATAATCTGACTGATAATGCATTAGGGAACTGGAACATGAGACTGAATATGTTTCTTAAGAACTTTAGTGATAAAAGGAGAAGATTGAAAAACTTGTATGGCAAAAAAAAAAAAGAAAAGATTACTTAGAGTCAGTGGCATGTGGCTGTAAACTTTTGCATTTCCCTTTTAGGTTTGCATTTCCCCTTTACCTCTTAGGCTAAGCAACAAGACACGTGCATGTCTAGTATGAATTATATGCAAACCAAGCATGACTTAATCACGTTCTACCCAACCCATGATATGTTTTAATTATTATTTTTTTGACAAAAAATGTTCAATTTCTGCACGTCACATTCAAAAAAAAGTGCTTTAGCTGCTTCTGTTATAATTAAATGCTAAATCTCCTTCCAGGTGAAGAGCGAAGGTCCCAAACTGGTGCCGTTCTTCAAGGCAACCTGTGTTTACTTCGTTCTGTGGCTGCCCACCTCGAGCCCTTCCTGGTTCAGTGCCCTCATCAAATGTCTGCCCATCTTCTGCCTGTGGGTGTTTCTGCTGGCTCATGGATTCAGCTTCCTCGGTGCTCACTCCAGCGCCCGCAAGATTCTGGCTGGTCTCATCTTTTCAGCTCTGGGTGATGCCTTTCTCATCTGGCAGGAGCAGGGATACTTCGTCCACGGTGAGAAGAATAATTGTAATATATTTTTAACAGAGATTATACGCTTGCAAAACAGGCATGATTCCTTGCCAGCTAACTACTAACTCTGTAAAACGCTTGAAAACTTTTTGTAAAAAAGCTTTAAAGACCACTTTTAGAAAACCTCCTGAAAATGTGAGATCTTGGGGTCAGCAAGTCTAAACAAACCAGTTATTTAAGAGGGATTTCAGATTTTGAAAATTAGCCCATCATTACAAACATTAAGATATTTAGACTTGGCCAAACTCTACTGGAACCTTTACTGGAAATATGTGCTTTGACCAGTTGAGATACAGATCACAGTCATCAGACCGAAGTCCAGTAGAAAACCAGCTAAGTGAAATAAAGAGTGCATATAAGAAAAACCAGATATGTGACACTGAAAATGAAGCTTGTCTGAAATATTAACATGGAGGAAACCAAAACTGTATTTTTGACTGGTCTCACTGGTTTGCCACATTTTTATCTTGATGATTAAAATTTCAGTTTGACAGAACACTGCTTTAAAGATTGCTGCAAGGAAAAATAAGCCCCAGGTGAACAGCAAAATATTTCTACCAAGGTCTAACAGTTTTGAATGCTGAGTGGTGGTCCACTTTATTTCCAGCCCACAAATAATCAACTCAACAATGATGGAAAAGTGAAAAAAAATTAGAGCATCTTCACATTTCAGAAGCTGCAGATAGGTGAAGTTTATTTACATTTTCCTGTGTACCCAGTAAAGTGAGTCACTCAACTGCATGATTAGAAGATACAATCCAGCTTTGATTTTTTTCCTTGTAGAAAATATACACTGGCAATGAAATCAAAACTGGGTGATCACATGAATTTCAACAGCAGCATTTTATAAAATACGGTGTTTTAAAAAAGCACCCACACTCCACAAATTTCTGCTCAGTATTTGAGTCTATGACTGAGTCAATCAAAACTGCAATTTTCTATTTTGTTGAAAGTGCTGATTCTTCTGCTTCTTCTATGCCTTGCAGGTCTTCTCATGTTCGCCATCACCCACATCCTGTATTCATCTGCCTTTGGGATGAAGCCAACAAACGTGCGCGCTGGCCTGGTGATCACTGCGGTGTCCGCCCTATGCTACCTCCTGCTGTACCCCTACCTGTCCGGACCCTTCACCTACCTGGTGGCCGTCTACATCGCTCTGATTGGCTTCATGGGCTGGAGAGCCATCGCAGGGCTGCAGCTAGCCAACGACCTCTGGACCTGGACCAAGCTGTCGGCCTGCCTGGGCGCCGTGCTCTTCATGGTCTCTGATCTCACCATCGCTGTCAACAAGTTCTGCTTTCCCGTGCCACACTCCCGAGCCATCATCATGGCCACCTACTACGCCGCCCAGATGCTCATAGCTCTGTCCGCTGTTGAGTGCCAGGATGCGGAGGTTTCCCGGAAGAGAACATGAGGTGACACGGTCTCCAGGAAACACGAGGCTGGGGAGATGTCTCCAACTCTGGCCTTGAGTGACCATGGACACACCTCACTGCCAGATCTCAAACCCCCAGCCTTCATCTTGGTGTGGCGCTCCCACACAATTGTTAACATGGCAAATGATCTACTACACGACAATCTCCCTGCTATCCCACTAGTATGGTAGTCTCATATGTATCTCTTTATAAAGAAGATACTGTAGTATTACTCCAGTCTCTCTCGAGTGCAATCAAACCTTAAAAAATGCTGTGTCTCAACCAAGTTATTAAGAAGGCAAGTGTAGAATTAATATCCTCCAATAGAACGCATTAATTTACTTGCAACTAGGTTGATTTAAGGGGAGCACGTTCCTGGGCACCTTCAAGTAGTGTGTATGAGAGAGTGATTTTCTGTGAGTGTGTGTTTGCAGTTTTGTGATTGATTTACACTGTTACCTCACTGTCCATACAGTGCTTTGATGCACAATCTCCATACAGATGTAAAGCCACACATTTGTACTTTCAGTGGTCCATTATGATAATTTACCAGTGCATTTCTTGTTTTTGCTTTAGTCATGTAAATTCTTCCAAAAGGGATATTTTTTATACCGTTGCCCTTATATGTGGCTGTAGGTCCCCCTTCACTAAGGGTGCTAATCTAGGAGCTAAGGGCATGTACATACCTATTTAATTAATTATCTGCAGTACCTTTCATTTTAATTCGTAACAACCTCTCTTCCTTTTGTTAGATATGGTCTTTACACTCTGACTGAGTCTGCTTAAATGAAGAGTATTTTTTTTCTTCCTTTAAGACCCCTTTGAATAACTAGATGAAAATAAGATGAGCAGTACATGTTGTTTTTGGAAGCTCAATCCTTCAGTTTTAGGATCTAATTGGCCCTGCAGGTGCAACATGTTTCATCATACATGCATCGCCTATAGAAGTTACACCTTCAACAGCACCGTACCCTACACCAACACATCATGCTGGTTTAGTTATTAGGCAGGTTCCTTGGGGGACTTGTTGTCTGACTCAATCAGCTGACCCGTGCTGTTTATGGTCGTGTTATGAAAACAGAAAAAGAAAGGGCTTTGTCGCTGGCTGGACTCATTTCGTTAATAAACTCTGCCAGCAGAGTCTGCAACTGTGAAGGCATTCACTCACTCGGAACGACGCGCACACAGATTTACGCAACGCGTAAACAAAAAGGAGCGGGTAGGCTTGGCAGAAACAGGGAGACAAGAGAAAGCGTCTTGCCGTGCAAGGGAACAGTTATCCCATTATTCCAGATTCTTTCTTCACACAGGAAATCTCTGAAATGTCCTCTACAGCTTATTCTCGGCAAGACAAATCATAGTTTTTTTTCCCCCTTCATTCCCACTGTTGTTCCTTTTAAGTTACTTTATTTTGAACTGTCCAACTGAACTAACTCTTCTGTTTTGCACGCCTTTTACAGTGTGAGTGTATTCATCTTAACTGTTGAGGGGCAGTCAGACTCAGCTCAAGTACTGCGACCCGACAGATGAAGCAGACACACTGGGTATGTTCAAGTATTTGTATAAAGACTCGTAACTCTCTCTTTTTACTCGCTCCTCTTTCTAACTGTAGTTGTGTTATATAAGTTACAGAATCTGTCAGTTTTGATTAGTTTTGGCTGAACAGATCCAAACTCTGGACTTTACTTTTTCTGTTTCTGGACATACTTTGCTTTATGATGCAGCGCCTTACTATCTTGAAATTTTCCATATTTACAACCACGAATCTTGGATAGATTTTATGTGACAGACTAGCACAAAGAAGGACATATCTACTGTATGTCGTAAAAGTCTTCTAGCGTATTTCTCTACCAGCTTTCTCTTCCTCGTTCGGAACGTCCATTTTCTTACAACCGGTCTAAGAGGTTTTCTTCCAGAATTATCTTGAATTTAACTCCCTCCATCACCCTGTCCACCCGCAATTTAGTTTAAGTTAATTTCCTTGAGAGACAAAGTATTTTTGATTTAACTGAATTAAAATTTTTTGGGAGCTCAACCAATAGTTGCCCTGTCAGGAGATTCTCCGCACCTGCACAGTCAGCATTTCAGAAGTCCTGAAAAAACTTGACTGAACTAATAAGGGATCACATTTTGCCCTGTAAGAATATGCTTTAGGAACCGAGAGGATTACAAAGACTGACATGGAATAACCTCCATGCCTGTTTACGCTATAAACAGGCATGGAAAGTGATTGCTCCTCATTCTGGGTCAATGACCCACAGAGTTGCCAGTATCATCAAAAACACACACGCACATCAAAATTTGTTTGCATCACACGAGCCACTGAAACGAGATCTGCAGACAGATGCCAACAATGAAAATCACCAGTTCCCAGCAGCCATTTTTGATCACTGCTTTATCAGACAGTTCCTCAATCTCCTTTTGCCGTGTCAGTGCATTTGTCAGCACTAAGGTTCTGCTTTGTCTGCTGATCTCTTTCACTGCTCTGCACATATGAGCACTTGTCTTGTGTTCCATGTTTTAATTAATCCTCCCGGCATGGCAGAGTTCTTGCACAGAGTTTTCCACTCTGATAAAAATAAACCTTTGCGCTTAGAAGCTATCAGAGGTCTACTAGAAGACATGCATTAGTCCGCCTGCTCCGTCCTCATAAGATAGAGTAAGTGGAGTGAATAAAGAAGGGAAGTAGAGAAGATGGATAACACAGATGATTCTAGCGTACAGTCTCGAGTTGAACCAAGAGGGGGCTGGTAATATTAAGCCAGGCGGTCTTATTTATCCTCAGTGTGTGGGCAATTTATGTAAGCACTGCTTGTTTGTGCGGAGCCAGAAAAAAGCCGTCTGACTTTTGTTCCTTCTTCTGGAATGGTCCCACGCCAGATGCACGATTCACTGAAGTATCCCTAAAATATTCTTGAGGAAGCATATGTCTTTTGGAACAAGTATTTTTAGAGCGTGTTGTATAGTCATGGTTGAGTTGTTCTGTTGAAATCCTTTTCATTGAGTCATCAAATGCGTTGGAAAAGTATTAAAACCTCTTGAACCTTTTGACATTTGTCATAACAGCCACAAAGCTCAGTATGTTTTGATGGGATTTTTGACGTGTTTGACAAACAGAAAGCTGTGCTGTTGGGATTTAGTTGAAAAAGGAAGTGATCACAAATAATCAGAAAATTGTGCCATCAACTTCTATTCAACCCCATCGGGTCAGTGCTTTGCTGCTGGTTATTTGACGTATGAAGGGAGAACGAGCCTCCTGCAGGACCCTCCAACTTGCCTTGTAGACTCCCATTTTCTCCCAAGTTTGGAGATACTCATGCAATTTAAAGTCTGCTTTAAATTTCTCCACATCTTTATCCTTGACCTGTCCAGTCTTCTCCTCAATCGCCAAGATTTTCTCTAATGTTTTCTGACAAACCTCCGAGACCTTCAGATGCAAGATCACTTTTCTAATATCACCTTTGAAGGCAGCTAACTGGAATGGATTTTATATTAGGGTGAAAGGGGCCAAATGTATATGCTTACCACATTTTGTATATTTTTTGTGGGATCAAAATGTAGAAAACCAATTACGATTCACCTTCACAGAATCATAACCTACTTTGTTTTGGTCTATGACATATAATATGAATAAAATACTCTGGTGTCTTGTTGCAACATGAAACGTGAACATTTTTATCAAGGTAATAAATCTTTTGCAAGGCACTGTATATTTGATCGAGGCAGAAGTAACAAGAAGCTGTTTATAGTACTGGATCTCGCATATCAAACACCCTTTTTGTCTCCAGCTCAGCGTTGCATATGACCGTCCTTTGCCCCAGGAATGTTATTGTTGAGCGGCATTTCACTTAGAATAAGGCGAGCCGTTGAAATATGACACACAGCGGGAAGAGTCTCCCCCCATCCATCAGGTTAGCTCCCATCCTGTTCCCCCACAGGTGGCAGACCAGCAGGCGCATCACTTTACCCTGCTCTGTCAACAACGCTGTTGTTCTGAGCTTTTCATGCACAGACAAAAGGAGACCTGGGAGAGTCTGAATGCGTTTGGTCTGAGTTAAGCTGGAACCAATTGCTGTTGCATTATAAAAAATACGTGTTCTGAAAAATGCTATCCTTTGAGTTTCTATTTCTCTTTTGTCTGTGTTTAATCAATTTTCTTGTAATTTTTACTTTGAAATATTTGCTGTTAATGCACTGTGCTCATGACCATCAGTGGGTGACAGTCGATACAATAAGCTGGAAAGTTTTTTTGTCTACTCCTGCATGACAGATTGAGTACATTCTCCATGTGATTGAAGCATTAAACACTCAGAGGTTTTATGGTGATAGTTCCCCACCATCAGTACAGGTTTATGAGAAGTATCTAAATTGTATTCAAGCTGCTGTGTGCTGCACTTTTTTATATCTAGGGTAAGGCCAGCCAGTCTTTAAAACTTGATCTTACAACAGACATGTTTTTTTTCAGTACCTTATCAATTTCAAGTATAATCTACATACTTTTTTTTTTATTTTGCTAGAAAACAACTAAAAAAAGAAAAGTCATTTTAAAAGAATATTTTTTTTTCTTTGAAGAAAAAAAATATTTTGAAGTGTTATCAACCCTGATGTGTACAACTTCCTTTAAAGTATTATCCTTTCAGTTCCAGAAAGTGAGAACCTAAAATATAAATTTGGTCATTTGTTTTTTGTGTACAACAATATTTATTTCCACAAACAAACAAAACTAGTTATCAAAGCTAATAAACATGCATCATTTCTTACAGTTTACTTATTGTCCTTGATTTTCACTTTGAGATTGATTTATTATTTTTTTCCCCCATGACTGTGGAGATTATATAATTTGTTTGCTGTTGTGAAACTCTGCAATGAATGTGAATATCTGTTGGAGAAATAAATGCAATTGCAATGCAACTTCAGCATAATGTCATTTGGGCTTTGTTCTTTCCTGGAAACCAGAGGTTCTGCATTGAAAATGTCAGCTGATATTTATAACTGCAGTGTTTTGTGTTTTGTTTGAAGCTGCTGGTCCTCAGCTGGTAAAGTGCCGTGATGGCAGAAAGGGCCGGAGGACAACGGAAAGCTCTGTTCTGGTAACTGCTGCGCTCTGTTGTCCCACTGAGGTGGAAAATTTGCTTTCAGCACCCTTTAACCCTTGAAACCAGGGACTCACTCACTCTCGCTCTATGTCCTCATTTTCTATTTACAGCGATGTGAAAAACTATTTTGCCACTTACATATTTGTTCTGTTTTTCAATATCTGACCCACATAAGTATTTCACGTCATCAAACTAAAATTGAGACAGAGATGAACTGAATAAATACAAAATCAAGTTTTAGTTAACCACATCAACTAGACTAAAACAAAAAATCACTTAAATTGAGCTTCATGAATCAGACTAAAACATCCCCAAAAACAACATATTGCGCCCAGAGTGAAAGACATTTAAGAACAGAAACATTAACAACAACAAAAAAACATTGCAAAACTGTGTTGTTACCTGAAGCTGTTCATTTTCAAAACCCCTCTAATGGAGTTTACATTAAACACTTCTGCAGTGAACAGTGGGCCGAAAATACATCGTTATTGGCAATAATCTCAAAATCTTGATTATAGCAGTTCCCACCGTGAATGGTGCACCCAGTTATTAGGACCGGAGGTAATTAGTTTTTCAGATAGGATCGGGTTCGCTTGGCTGACTTTTTGTCTTTATTCAATGAAACCACAGTTCAAATACTAAGTTTTGCATTTATCCAGGTTGTCTTTGTGTGTCTGCACAACCTGTAACGGTAGCAAATGGGTTTTTCTGACATCTAAGCTTCTCCTGTCCCGTCCCCTTTGACTCTTTTAAATGTCTTCCTTTCAGGTGCAGATTAAGTCACTTAATCAAAGAACTCCAGTCTTAGTGGTTCACAGATGTTACTTTGTAAGGACCTCTTTGTGAAACACACTATCAGGATGTGAATTAATTAAAACACATAATAAACATGTGTGCTTCATGCAACAATCTCATTCTCAAGGAAACTAAAATCTTAAACTCTGACACAACACTCTCATGTTGTTCCTCCTGGGCTGCGGTCTCCAGGTTCTGTATTCAAGGTTTCACTTCACTTCCACTTTATTCTTCACCACCGAAGAGCCGGAAGGTACCAGTGACGCCTGTTGGGGCTTAATTGATTTGAACTGGCAAGCTCACTTGACCAGTCTCTGGTGTAAATCTTTAGAAATGGGGCAGTGGGAACCAGGACCAATGATGTAAGGAGTAACTTTGCTCTCTCAGATTGACAGCTAAATACCAGAACACGCTCACTCTTAGGGAACAGACAGCCTCTTTTCAAAGCAATGGGTTTCAAAGACGGCATCAAGCACAACAGAATCAATCAATTTGTAGAACACAGCCGATCAGAACATCAGTCCTGAACTCTGAAGTTGTAGGAGTAAATGTGCAGAATTCAATTCAGCTTTTAGTCACTTGACCACATAAGACTAGATCCTATAAAAATAGAAAGTGAAAATCTTAAGTGCAGTTCTTGCAAAAACCAGAATAAAAACCACGTAAAATATCCTTTTTTTTAACTTTAATGGCAGAGTGAACAAAGCCTTGTCATACCTAGTCATGCTTTGGTTTTCTATGCAGACTTACATTTTTTCTACTTTATCAGTCTTGCATCTAACCTCACAGAGAAAATGCTGTTAGACAAGAAGTGGAAATAATCTGCAACTGAAGACAGAAACGGAACACTGACATCTAGTGTCAATTTAATTAATTACCAAGTGACAATAAAATAAATTAATAATAATAACTGTAGAACACAGTTCAGAAGTGCCAACAGCTCATATTTTCTGTTCACTTAACTCTAATAAAATCTAAATCATGAATGTCTGTGAGGGAAAAATAAGTAACTCATACATTTAAAGTAATATCATAAAGCTTCAAATTATGTTCTGAACCACTAATAAAAACAAACATAATCTCAGTCGATCATTCACAATATTTTATAAACAAAGGTGCTTCAGCATGAATGTGGTTTATGTTCCCTCTGGACACATCACTCATGTTTTATTAATTAAGTATATGAATGTTACTAAATTTATCTGATTCTGAAGTGAATGTAGTTCAGTTTCTCGTTGCAAACACCCTGAAATTACCATAAGCTTATGGCTATAAACACTGGATTTCAATCCTATCAAGATTGAAAGACAAACTTGTTAGATGTGGAGCAATCTCATGTTGCTCCAATAAGTGGCAGAACACTAAAAGTCCTTCATTCCTTTTTTCTACCTGGTGAAATCCCTTTTAAATGACTGACAATTACACTTTTCCATGGACTTTGTAATGACTCCATATAAGTTCTAAATTGTTACTGTGACAGAATGACATATTTTATCTAAATGGGTATATTTTTGCAAGATGAGCCGCTCTCCCACATTCCTTCTTACTGCCTTTATCTTTCCCCCCTGCCTCCTTCATTCCTTTTTTCTACCTCCTTCATCACTCATTTTGATGTTTGTCATTTATACCCTTCATAAAGTGAACTTCATAAAATGAAGGATAATCCCTACTTCATTCATCCCTTCTTTCTTCATCAATCATCCCACAGCCCTACCCCATCTATTGCTCAGCTCTGCCTCCTTTATCCCAGAGATATTTTTCCTCATTCTTATCCCCTTTATTCTTTTTACCTTTGTCTCATATCAGTACCTCCTTTACTCCTTATCCTTATTTTTATCATCCCTCTTCAGCTCAAAGTTTCCTAGAAAACTCATCAATCTTTACCAATTCACCAAGCATAGCATTGTGAAACTTTGCAGGTTTCTTTTTCTTAGCAAAAATATTCTTGTTTTTCATCTATAAAAAAAAAAAAAAAAAAGCAAGTATTTTTTTCTAATTTTTTCTATAAAATAAATGATTAAAGTGTATTAAATTAACATTTACTAAAGAACACTTAGCCCTAGGGGTGATCCCAGATGCTATTTTGAGTGAAATAAAAACATTGAGTGATCATAACGCTGAATGAAAATTAAAGCAGGTTTAAAAGAGACATATTGAGGTCAACTTTAAAGTGTGACTAGGATTTCATTGTAATCCCTTAAAGAGTTAATGAGACTTTCTTTCAAACTACAAATGCCAACCTTACCATGGCATTTGATGAAAGGTCAGAAGAAAATTGAGGTTATTAGGAGTCTGCTGCTGCACAGCATAGATTCGTTCAACACATATCATGGGAACAAATCAGCCCAACCCAAACCTCTTCACACACTTTTTGTAAAATCCTGGAGAAACAGTTTCAACCACAGGAAGGCGGAATATACAGCATTTTTCTTTCAACACCGCAGAAGGTGTTTGGATGTTTGAATTATCAAAACCACAGTTTATGTGGTTTTGATTTTGAAAAATGTGCTTGGGAATCTTGAAAACAGGAGATATTCTCAATACATGTCTAATTTTATTCAGGGATATCCGTCAAATTCACCAGTTCTTTGGAGGATGCCCAGATGTAGGTGAGGGAACCTGAAAGGAGCAAAACACCTTTCTTTTCCTGTGTGTGGACGGTGTTGTGAAAAGTATGTATCCCTTTACAGATAAAATTTTTTTGCATTAAGTGCACACAATTAGAAAATAAACATTAAGCATGAATATTTTCAGTCTTCCTTCAAAAATGTAAAGCAATTACTTGCGAGGTCACTTGAAACCGATGTTGTTACGACAGGTAAAATTTATTAATTTTTGTGTTTTATGCAATTCAGCAAAATTAGCTCATGCCCTGTGTGTACTTCGCATATGAGAAGCAAACATAAATTCAATCAACAATCTGTTCTTCAAGGAAATGTAACTCACAAAATTATTTATATACATCTTTAAAAACAAATTGTTTTCATTTGAGTTCCTACATATGAAGGAAATGATCGATTTGAGCTCATGCTTGAAAACATCTATAATTAACACAATCTGAATTAATATGCCTCCCCTGTTTCTGGAACCCAGAGAGCACATGTCCTTGTGATAATATTTACTTGCCTTAAAGTTGCACCTTGGGCAACCAAACAGCTTGTTAGACAGAGCTGCAATAAGTGAGTTTGTTGTAAAGAGGGATTTGCTGGGATTACTTTCAACTCGGCACCAGGAGGGGAAAATCATCATGCAAATGTAATTTGGGTGAGAGGGACGACGACGGGTAATGTGTTTAATGTTGCTGAGGGGAAACAGAGCTTCTTAGTCTCTGGGGAGTACGAGCCTCACCAAATTAGCCTTTTTAATTAAATGACAATGTAAACAAAAATTCCAAAAGTTCTTATAATGGTGAAAAAAAAATCTGTTAAACTTTTTTTCCCCATACTTTATGTAAAGCAGCACAATTAATGTGAAGTACAGCAAGTGCTCAAGTTACGGTAACAAAACTACACTCTTTTCTGGTTCCAGTTTTATACATCAGGATCTGATATGAAAATATAATCTGTTCCTGAAGTAGTTATAAACTTTGATGATGCCAAAATGGAAAAGCTGTTCATAAAAAAAATCTTGCAAACCTTTGTTGCTTCTAAGAGGGAAAAAAGAATCAGTAGTCACTGATGAAATAGACCTGACTGACTACCAAAGAATGTGACCAGCTCTAAAAAACATCTTGAGCATCTTGAGCATGTTGATGAAGTCAGCCATGATCTTAGCTTAGCACTGACCACTGCTCCTCAATCTGGTAAGGATTTAAGTCTGTTGAAAATCCATTACTCCCAGTAGTTACCCACCTTCCCAGCAGTGACTATCCTAGCAAAAAGGTCAGACTGTGCAAAGAACCGAGCTCCAACTTAGTCTCTACAGGCCGCAGTTAAATGTCAAAGTTCATAACCGTACACTTAGAAAAAGGCAAACTGTAGAATGACTCTAAATTATGTAAAATAATTTGGAATGACTGAGTGACA